ACTTTCATAATAAAGAGATTGCATTATGGTACTTGTGTGAGGTGAATTGAAAAATAATTTTTTAAATCATTTTTACAGTGCCCATATTTGTAATAAAAATAATATAAGGTGAGCACTGTATACTTTGTATTCAGTGTTGTAATTTAAATCAGTATATTTGGAAATGTAGAAAATCATCCAAAAATAGTTAATAAATGTCAATAGAATACCAATTGTTTAACAGTGTGATTAAAGCTGCAATTAATCGCGATTAATTTTTTTCAGTTAATCACGTGAGTTAACTGCGATTAATCAACAGCCCTAGTTTTTATCCATCATTTTCACTTTCAGAATCTTGTGTGTCTGAAGAAATCAAAAAAGATGTGTTCAGGTTAGCAATAAATAACTCCTCAGACAGAAGCAGGTCTTTCCTCTGTAACTAGCTCATACTTTCATGAGCTCTGGAAGAGTTATCTCCATGCCTTTATTATGTAATGAATTTTTAAGAGATGGCATGTTTGTGTGTCTCTCATCTGCGGGACCTGAAATCCAAGAAAAATGAGTTTGCATTCATAGGTAACGTTACTCTTAATACATATATCTTTTTGGGTATGATCCTGTAGAGTTTATTATTCTTCCTGGATCCTCCTTACTCTCGGTACTTAAGGTCTGACCTCACACTGAATCTCACTCATCAGTCATTTAAAAACAAAAAAAGTCGTCTTTCTCTCCCTTCATTCACTTACTTTATTCTCCTTTATTTTCATTTAAACCCAACTTTTCTTTGCTTCCTTGCTTTATTACCCCATAATACTAGATGTGATTTAAGAAACCTATTTTCTATTATTAAAATTATTTACCTTAAAAACATAAAAAATCGGAGCTCTGTGTACTGTCCTGACGGCGTTTTCAAATGCACATATTCTCAGCTCCAAGTTGTCTAGCTTGGCAGTTAGAAGTATCTTAAACCCCAGAATGCTATCCACATGATTGTCCTCTTAAGGAGCCTTGAATTGATTAAACGAGTTTGACTCTGTAGAATACATTTATCTGAATGTGATTTAAATATATTCTGAATTCTTACTTTGATATAACTAATGCCAGTTCTCAGCTCTGCATCCCAAGCAGATGTTAAAATAAAGTAATCTTTTCCTTTGCAGAAAGTCTAGAAAAATGTCATAGTAAGAATAGTAACTAGCCCACTGCCAAAAAGGCTGATGATTAATCCCTGCAATCTATGAGATTATTTGCCTTTCCGACCTCTTCTGAAAATAATAATACGGTAGATTCTAAAGGCATCATAATGTTTACCCTAACAACACACCATTGCATGGGAACGCTAGTCTCTGACTTATGACACTGTGCTGCTACAGGAAATAGTATGCACGCCAAGGATAACAGATGGTGTCTCAATGGCAAAATGCCCACTTGGTCTCTTCTGTGGAAATCAACCAGAGGAAGGTGCAAATATGTAGAATTTTTAGAGCTGATGTAATTAAATACAACATTATTTTAGTTTTCTACTATAAAATATTTAGTTACTTAGAGTTTTTTTTTAATAATTGTAATAGTCTGATGTCCAATAACATTGTCTCTTGGTTACGGTGTGTCTGCTCAATGCCAAGTTTAGGACCTTTCGCATAACAAATTAACACTTACAGGCTTTTTAATGATACTGCATCTGAGTGTACAGTGAGAGGGATCTTTATGTATTTGTAGAACTGTGTTTGAATTAGGTTGCCAATTTTAAGGGAACCCACATTCCTTAAGTCTGATTCAGCCCAATACAGTAGCTTCTGTCCTGTATAAGACTTTTTCCCCCCAAGGCTTTTGCAGTACTGGGAGGACCAATAGTACGTTTTTTGCTATATGTGCTTCTTAATTCAGATTTTAATGTGAGAGGAAGCCGTTGAATTTGATAAATGATTAAATTCCTTAATCCAGCTGGGTGTGTGTAGGGGAAAATCTGGGAGCCCTTCCAGAAAGAAATATCCAAAAAGCATCTCTTTGGCAGTAGTTAAATGTCAATAAAATACCATGCTTGTCCTAGTCGTGTTCCCTTTTCTCCCTTATTTTCCATCTTTTTGTGTTTTCCTTATTGCTCATGCTTTTCCCAATGCCTGAAAAATCATATTTGGCACTTTTACTGAGCTTTATATGTTCAAAGCACATAAATATTATCTAAACCTAGCTCCACCATTATGAAGGTACTATTAGCTTTTTTTTACAAATGGGAATACTGAGAGAAAGTGAGTAACTTATCCAAAGCAGCAAAAGGAGTCTGTCAGATCAGGGATTAGAAATTGGGATTTCCCGGCTTCCAGTTCTGTGCTGCATTTTCTTTGCTTTTCTAGAGACAGCACATCTGGTCTGATCAGAGGTGCTTTTTCAGGAAGGAAAGTTTCCTTCTCGCCCTTTCTTCCTGCTTTCCTCTCCCAGGCAGAATTCTGCAAAGAAAGTGTGCTTTGCCCTAGTGTCACAACGGTAGGCAAGTGACTTGACAGCAACCCTTCTGGATGGTAATGGTGCAAAATGGATAGGCTCTGAAGGAAATGCTACCTATGGATCTTGGTGAACTAATTCATCTAAAATAAGAGCTAACCCTTTGTCTAAAACTTGACTTGAACCTTTTTGAGTTTAAACAAAATAATTTAATTAACAAAATCAGGTAAGATAGAGGTTTAGAGGTGGAAGTACTGAAATACTGAAAATAGCCTGTTTCCAGAATATTTCATAAAACCCTGTTCTTGTACAAAATCCCAGTTTGCAGACTTGAGATATAGAAAAGTTAAGATTGCTAACTTCTGGGTATCTTGCTTATCTGAACTATATCTCTTGAGGTTTCTCTTCACTAGAATATTTCATATGGCCTCAATTGCAAGCATTGGAGGCCATGATGTAGCTATTGAGGATGGGTGTGTGTGTGTGTGGGGGGGGGACAGGGTGACCAGATGTCCCGATTTTATAGGGACAATCCCGATTTTTGGATCTTTTTCTTATATAGGCTCCTATTACTCCCCACCCCCGTCCCGATTTTTCACATTTGCTGTCTGATCACCGTAAGCGGGGGGAAGTTGAGGAAACTCTAAGGATTTGGCTACACTGGAACTCTATGGGAGAAAATAAATGGATTTGTTATGTGAAGAAGCAGAGTTTAACTTCTTTGTTTTAAGACTTTGAACTTTTTTTTTAATAAACAAAATTCCTAGCTAGGGTTTTATGTTTGATTTTTATTGCAAGTTGATGTGAAACAAATGTAACTTACTGTCCCAACAATGGACAGAAAATGCCAATTCAGTCCTTAAATACCACTATAATTTTTCTCTGCCTCAATTTGCATAGTAAAAAAGATTAAGCATTGTTTCCAACAAGGTCCACTAGTGTTTATAGGAAGTGTTTTTTCCACAGGAGGAAAAAACATCTTTCTTTGGCAAGTGTAAGTTGAATGGCTTCCTCTCCTAACATGATACTGAGACTAGATTTTTCTAGTGCAAAATTCAGATGCTAAATTGCTAAGTAGTAGTATAGAAGCTCTTACCTGCCTTCTATGGAGGACTTGTTAGTTACTTCTGAGCCATAAAAACTCACCCTCAAATGTTACATTAGTAAAGTATTGAAATACATATTTTTACTTAATTTTCTAGATAGGTTTGAAATTTTATTTGACGATTTTTTGTCCTTTTTAAAAGCAACAAGGAAATACTGGAAAATAAAAGGCTCATGGGTTTTGGTTATTTTTATTCTTTAGTGCTCATAACTAGTTCACAGGAATCTGTTTTAAGAATACAAAAATAAGTATATGAAATATAGTGTAAACTGTCACAACTAATATTGTGCAAGTGAATTCCGGTCTTCCCTTCCGTATTTCTCCTGTGCTTTTCTGCCTCCAATACCGTTCTTAAATCGGCATTGTCAAGGTTGATAGGCCAAAAATCTGACCTCCCTTGAGAGTTACATTTGTCGGTCTGCTGACAACTTCACTTCAAATAAATAAATTTAAAAGTGTTAACCCTAATATTAAAAAAAACTAGGACTTTTTTCCCCCCTCTCCATACTCACAGGTATGCAACTACAGTAACGCTCTTCCCTGCTCTGCTCTGTTCTTGTATGCAGGCAGTAAAGTGAAATCTCCAAGAATCCTGCTCCGAAGGCCTGCATACAAGAAAGAAGCAGAGGAAAAGCGTTACATGAACACTTACTTGAGTACAGCTGCAATTTAAATCCCAACAGGTAGGTCCCATTTTTAGTCTGCCAGCCTTGACAATATCATTTAAACTTTGACCAACAGCGTTCACAACTCTTTTTAGATAAGAAGACAATACAAACTATAATGAATGTGGGAGGGTGTATGTAGAAAGTGGTGATGGTATCTGGATGGCTGAATTGATTGTTTACTTTTTGTTCAAAAGAAGTTGGTGGTAATCTAAAGAAGGCCAGAATCTGAGAGCTTGGAATGGAGCACCTCTCAGGATCTGGGCCATAATTCTTAAATTTATATTGCCCGTGATTGAAATAACTAAACAATTAGATACCAGTCATTCTCACTTAGACATATTGTCACTGTCTAGCCAGAGGGTGTTGGCAATAGTTGATGTATCCAAAATACTTGGAAAGGTTCTTTCGAAATTGCTTCCTGTAAAAATTGGTTTGCAAATAAAATGCTTCTTAAAAGTGAACTTAAAAACAACCATCCAACCAACAATAACAAACCCTTTCAGTGTTCAGATTTTCTAAAATTTGAGAAATACTCATCTGGATTTTGCAAAGTACTCAGTAAAGTGTTTTTGTAGCTCTGTAGATACCATGTATTTCACACTGCAAGGGATCCAGCAGGTCTGAACCAAAGTATTGTACAGTCTTTTGTTAGAGATACTGGATCAGAGGCAAGTCTAAAGTGGTGCAACTTGCATCCTCTTCTGGGCCTCCATGTTGCTTAAATTACACCCATTGAGATTTCTTAAGACTCTCACTATTTTATCAATGTGTAACCTTATAATGCTATTTATTTTTGCCCTTTTCAGATATATTGGGAAGTCAGATTCAATAACAATCAGTGTATGGAACCACAAGAAAATCCATAAAAAACAAGGAGCTGGTTTTCTGGGTTGTGTGAGACTTCTTTCAAATGCAATCAACCGCCTTAAAGACACTGGTTGTAAGTAGACTAAGTGCTAATATTTTGTCTCTGTTTTAGAGCACTTTTGCAAAGAGTTTTAAAAAAATTCAGTGGCAGCTCTGTGTATATGTTAATGTTTTCTTTTTGTTTTGCCCTTTTTAAAGACCTGTATTTTCAGCTGGCCAGCCCATTGCAATATTGTTTCCTAGGTAAGGAAAATATGCTGAATTTAAGGCAGTGGTTCTCAGCCTTCTGTTTCCAGACTACCTATTACAACAGAAAGTTTCAAAACACCCTTCACTCTAGAAACAAAGGTGCAGGGGGAATGACCGAACTTTACAGTTGCACTGCTACAGTGCTGTTTGTATAGACATTGCCTTAGTCATGGGTTTTCCATCTGGGGATTGCAACTTGTTTCAGGTGGGTCATCATTCCCTCTCCCACCCCTTTGTGTCTAGAGTTGAGCGAGTTTTGAAACTTTCTGTTGTAATATGTAGTCTGGAAATAGAAGGCTGAGAACCACTGTGTTAAGTTCAGCATATTTTTCCTTTCCTAGAAAACAATATTGCAGTTGGCTGGCCAGCTGAAAAACCCATGACTAAGGCAATGTCTATACGTACAGCACTGTAGCGGCGTAGCTGTACCATTATAGCTGCGCCACTTCAACACTCTATTTCGACGGGAGAACTCTCTCCCCTCGGCATAATAAAACCACCTCCACGAGCGGCAGACGCTATATTGGTAGGAGAAGCTGTGCACCTGAGCACTTGTCAGTGTAACTTAGGTCGCTCAGAGGGGTTGTGGTGTCTTTTTTTTTTTCCACATGCCTGAGTGACATAAGTTATGCTGACATAGGCTGCAGTGTAGACATAGCCTAAGCCTATTGACTTTATGACCTTCTTAGACTTCAGCAGTTTCATGAATGAAAACTGATCCAGTCCTAAACTTTGTATGCCTTATGACTGAGCAATTATCAGAAATATAACTATCTCTTGTCACATACCTTACTTTCATATTTGCACAAACTTGCACTGGAATGCTATTAGAGTTGTTGGCTTTATTTAACCAACAGTCAACATATTCTTATTTGGAAGGTTTAACATCATGAATTGCAAACATATAATTTGATATTCTAACCATTCCCTGCTCTAATGAAAAATAGAGAGGAAAAATAGACCTAGTACCAGCATTACTCACTTTACACCATCTTGTCTCTCGGCTATTTATGTACATTAGTGGTATCTTTGCATTGAAAGTTGACAATATATAGTCCTTTTTCTATGTCCCAGTGCAACAAAAGTATGTTGGAGGTGGATGAAATTGCATACCTAGAATCTTTAAGATAATTTGTTTCAGATGAGATCACTCAAAAGGTAGTTCAACTTCTAGGTCTTAGAATATCAGGTGTCCCTTTCTTAACTTTGTTGTTGCACTAGTTTGGTGCTTCTGGTGCTAATTGCCCAAATTAAACTTCCTATATCAGAGCTGTAAAAGAAGACAAATTCCAGTCACTGCCTTTATTGCCTTCAAAGATATGACTCTTATCAGAATTGTAGTTGGATTCCAAGTGTTTAACTTGTTTTTGTTTTAATAAATTGTACTTTTAAAAAGGTGCATGAAGGGTAGCTTTAATTTGAAGTTAGAGATCTGTACTTGAGAATTACTGCAGCTTCAATTTCTACCTGTGTAGCCTGTGCCTAAATATGTTGAAAGTTTACAGCAAACTTTTACAATAGTGTGGATTTACCGTTTTAAGAGAATGTTAATAAAAATTGTAAGATGCCTTTTTCTCGTTATGCTAATTAACACGGATTCCATTGACACTGGTAAGAGAACAGTAGTAGATCAATCATAAGGCATGCCTGCCACTGAACAAAGCATGACAAACCACTCTTGATGAAAAAGATGTACTTACCTGGCTAGGCCAGTCAGACTTTTCTTTTTCCAGGAAGTATTCTAGTCTCCCTTCAAAAAATTGGATTCTTGAAGATGAAGTAGCAACTGAATCTCTAATTTCTAACTGCTTGTAGTTGTCTCAGTGGTTCAACACATTGCATTTTGCTTAATTGCTTGGACTTCTTGCTGTTTAGTGTGGAGTACATGCTCATTTGATTGATGTTCCAGATTAGCTGTGTCTGTGTTTACGTCTCTTGTACTAATATCCGATGCCATGGCGACAGCGAGTTATGGTGGTGATTGCTCCCTACATGGGGGAAAAAAAACAAGTTGGTTTTTAATACCATGTAACCAGTCCAGTCTGACTGCACAATCTCCTGTGTTAAATGAGAAGGTAGGAGGAGAGTAAGAATTGTGAGGAGGAAAGAACTTTGTGAAGTTGGTCAGAGAACAGTTTAAAATTTAATAAAGGAATTAAATGTCTTTTTAACGTTAATAATTTTTACTTTCAATTTTAGAAGCATGAAAATTAAATGTGCTGTCTTAAGAATTTTTTTCCCCTTTCTGAATTCTAGCAATTTTAAGATAGCTCAGATCTTGCTTTTATGGTAATTCAGAATGCTCCTTAAAAACGGCAAAATATTATATAGTTAACACTAGATATTTCCTGATTTTATAGATCAGAGGTTGGATCTATGCAAACTTGGGCCAAATGACAATGATACAGTTAGAGGACAGATAGTAGGTAAGTGTGGATTTTTTTTTAATTCAATTGGAACTTTGTTTTGAATTGTACTATCAGCTTCTAGATTGGTGTTTTCTGGACTAGAGTAACAATAACTATGCTTTTAAATTTGATTGTCAAGGAGCCATTGCCAAAGGCCTCTAATAACTGTATGTGTGTATGTATGTGTGCAGTCGAGCTCATGCATAGAGTTATAAAGAAAAATAACAAGGCCCAAGAAAGCAAAGTAGTGCTGAAATGAGGCAAACTAGACTACAATAATACTAGTATAAAAGTTGTATAAAATGCATTAAAAGAAAACTGTCTTGAGCTTTGCCGTGAGGAGGTGACAGATGAACTCTGGGGCTAACTTCCCCTGAAAACCCAACAAAGCTGAAATAGTTGACCTTGCTTCAGGGCACCATGCAAGACATATTTTCTGTAGGTTTTGTCTAAGAAGGGATGCCTTCCAAGGAGTTTTGCTATAACTGGGGTGAGTTCTTCTTTGGGATAACTTCACTAATATATATTGTATTTTTATGGCTTTTTAAAAAATTGTCTTGCTTCAATCTCAGCTGCTGTGCTGTGTGATTCAGGTACTTTGTTCCTAAATTATTTAAGATTTTTTAAACGCTATAAATAAATCCTTGAAGCAGGCTTATTGGAAAATAAGCAGCCACACATTTAAGTAAACATTCTTCTTTTGCTGCATTCTGAACTTAATTCAGAGTAAGTTTAAAGGGCAGCCCTGAGTAGAGCACATTACAATCGTTCAGCCTGGAAGTCACCACGTTGTGGATCATTGTGATGGGGTCTGTATTTTTGTGGGGGAGCTGTAATCTATGAATATTTCAGAGATGGGCGGGGGGGAAGATTTGGGCCTCCATGTTCAGCTCCTGGTTATAAAATCTCCAAGTCGTGTACCTGATCCACCCTGCGAGGGATCTCTACCAATAGGCAAGGCAGCCAGGCAACAAGTGAGGGCTTCTGGATGTTTGTTACCCTCCTCAAAATACTCTGTCCATTGATACCTCTGCTTTATCTTAGCTAAATTTTAACCAGCTGTTTTGCCTCCAGTCTGCAGTCTTTGTGAGGTAGTAAGATAGCATCAAGACAGAGGTGATGTAATAGGATCAGATGGTGGGAGATATGTCGGTATCATCAACACATTATTAATGCTTCAGTCCATGCTGACATATCAGTTTTCCATGGAGGTTCACACTAAACATTAATGATGATAAAATAGACACTTGTAGCAGCTCCCTTGGTGCTGGTGGAGTATTCATAGCTACCGACTGAAACCTGGTTGAAAGTAGTGTTCATTTCTTCCCTGAGAAATCCACAGCTTGTGAAGTTATAAAGTGTGTTACATTAGCACCATTGCTGCTTCCCTTGTAAGAATAGTATCTGTACATTGTTTCAAGCTATTAACTTTAAAAAGGCCTTGTGTCTTCAGTCAGTGCTGTCTTTAACTTGACAGATACTCCAGAGGCTCCTACCTTTTTTCTATTGAAAATTCATTGTTAGTCTCCTTAAAATTTTCTTCACTAATACAACTTCGTTTTGTGGATGAATGGGTCCAGGTAAAACTAGATAATTCTGGGTATAATAGAGTAGAGAGAGTTGATTTTCTTTTTTTTAATCAAAATAAATTGTAGCTAAAATGAGTTGGAAGTGGGATTAGCTTTATAACAGGGGTGAAATGGCCTGAATTAAAGGGCAGGATAAAATTGAAAGGGAAATTATTCTATTTATCTAATTGGTGTCTTCAGCAATTGATTGTCTAGGAAAAGAGGGACACCTTGGTGTATGCCTTATGGCTAAAAATCTAGGGACTTCCTGGTGAATGCCTTATAACTGAGGGCAGAGAACAGGGGGAATCTTGCCTGGGGTTACCTTTAAAGTGGGGGGGAAAGAAGGGTGATGATTTTGGGTAGTGGATACAAAGGGCACCTGAACTGTGTCTTAATCTTGCAGCTCTCTTCTGTGCCACTATTTTATTTCTGATGTGGCAGTGCAGAAAAATGAGTCCTTACTCATTACAAAATGAAGCCGTCCACTAATTTTGGTCCTCACATAGGCAAAGAGGAGGTAATTGTTTAGTTTCATTTTTGTCTGTGTGTATTGGTATTGCTTGCCTACATGCAACAACATGAACTTGTAATGTGTGGGGTTGTTGCAGAAAGTCAATCAAGCATTTCCTTGCTCTCTAAAGAAATTAAGGGCCGTCTACATTTCTCTCTAATAAAGACCACACTCATAAAAGGTTAGGCATTAATACTGGCTAGAAATGAGGTTAATGCACACAGATACAGCAAGACTTCTTGTGTAGCTCAGCTAGCGTCCCAAAATCCTGAACTTCAACACACCTTTTGATTCAGAACTGGGCCTCTCTCTTTCGGAGGTTGCCAATAATGTTAAATTGTCTTGTGGTTTTATGATATGGGCAAATGTCCATTTGGGTCTAGATTGAGGCCATTAAACTTATTTTCGTTTCATTTGTGGTAAAGATTTGAATGCAGGTGTCCAGAGATGAAAAGGTGCATTCATGTCACACAGCCAACAGAAAGCAATCATGTATTTGGTTTCCTGCGTGACTAACCTCTTTAACAACAACAACAACAAAATAAACAAAATGCAACCTGAACGTTCAAATCAGATATTTTTACACATTGCAATGTTAGGAACAAAACTTGTCCACAAAACCTGTGATTTCATAACTGCAGTGAAAAAGCTTCTGGCATTAAAACAATGTTTTAAAATGTTTAAGGCTGTAGCATGTAATACTGTTTTAGTTTGTTTATAATTTTTTACTGTAAGTAATGAGACTACTGTTCTGATAAATGCTTTTGAAATACAATTTAAATGTGTTTAAATCTATATCACTGATATTTGAATGTTAGTTTACATAGATCTCTAATAACCAAAATGTATTGTGCTCATAGCATTTAAACTTTGCCTGTTTTGTGTGTCCTTTTTTTATGATGAATTTTCACCCTCATTCATAGTTACTATGAAAAAATTGAACCTTAGTAGAAACTGCACTTTTAGACTGCTTAACAGGCCCAGTCTTGGTTGCTGCTTTCCATTAGAAGTGTTCCTTTTTAGTTTCTAGTAGCAGTCTGACACTGGCATTGCACAATTCCACTTGCTAGTCATTCTGCATGGGATCAGCCACCCTGTTGTCACCAGACCAGTTGTACAGTTTTAAGCTTTGCCTAAGGAAGATCAAAATTAATTACAATTTCAGATTTAACTTTTCTTCCCACTTTAAATTACACTCTTATCCCTAAAGGTGGGTTTTTCAAAGTAGCATACAGAGATTTAGTTGTGTGGAACCACATACCCCTCTACCCCGATATAACGTGACCCAATACAACACGAATTCTGATATAATGCGGTAAAGCAGTGCTCCGGGGGGGCGAGGCTGTGCACTCCGGTGGATCAAAGCAAGTTCGATATAATGCGGTTTCACCTATAACGCGGTAAGACTTTTTTGGCTCCCGAGGACGGCGTTATATCGAGGTAGAGGTGTATTATCTCTGCTTAACCTTTATTAGCTATTTGGGGAGGAAGATAAAATTCAGAAAATGGTTTAACTTAGCCCTCCTCTAAGTTATACCATTTCTTTCCAAATGTAATTGTGATTTGGATTCTGTTGCAGTATCTTTAATAATTGCCTTTTAATATTTTAATAGTAAGTCTTCAATCCAGAGACCGAATAGGCACAGGAGGACAAGTTGTGGATTGCAGTCGTTTATTTGACAATGATTTACCAGATGGGTAAGTAACACCTATACTCACTTTACTTTTTAACCTTTGAAGTGATGAGATGTCAAAGTAAAAATAGACTTTTTTTTTAATTAAATATTTATAAACCTATAGAAGTTTTAATTTAGAAGCTGGAGACATACCAGTTACTGACTTAACTGTAGAAGGTACTTACTGAGGCTATGTCTACAGTACAGCCGGAACTGATGCTCTGAGATCGCTCCACCGGCGGTCGATTTAGTGGGTCTAGTAAAAACCCACCAGATCGACAGCAGATGGCTCTCCAGTCGACCCCTGTACTCTACGCCTGACAAGAAGAGTAAGGTAAGTTGACGGGAGAGTTTCTCCCGTTAACTCATCGCGATGGAGACCCCGCGGTAACTCGACCTAAAGTACGTCGACTCCAGCTGCGTTATTCACATAGCTGGAGTTGAGTAGCGTAGGTCGACTTACCGCGGTAGTGTAGACATAGCCTTACTCAGAATGATTGCTAAGAAAATGATTGCGAGAAAATCTCCCGTGGACTTCCCTTACTCTTTTCGTCGGGGGTAGAGTACAGGGATCGACTGGAGAGCGATCTGTAGTCGATTTAGCGGGTCTTTAGTAGACCCACTAAATTGACTGCCAGTGGATCCATCTCAGAGCGTGGATCCCTGTCATAGTGTAGACCTGCCCTAATAGTGTAAGCATTGTGTATCTGTTCGCCCATTTGGAGGGCGAGAGGAGAGCATGTGATATCAGTGAGTGAATGAAAGTATATACCCAAGAACCCACAGCTCATTTGAGAATTATAGAACAGATAATTGACTTACATGAATATAATGTAAATCTAAGTGAGAACTAACATTCTTGAACAGCCCTGCTTTACCCACAAGATAATCTAATAGGACCCAGTGCCCTAATTTTGTACCCCGTGTAATGTGAGAGCGTGCCAAAATGTCTTCTACAGAGCTGTAGAGAGGATATAGTATTGTAAAAATGGGTCTCTTTTCTTCTCATTTGTAAATCAAGAAACAGTATTGTTCAAGATCGTGGAGACTGAGTTCTTGCTGTACTTACCTGCCAAAGGCTGGATTCAGGATATTTTTTCCTCTATGAAAACTGATGAGATCAATACCTAAAGCAGTTTGGGGAGTTCAGAAAAATGTGCTGTTTTAGGTGCTTTGGCTAGCATCTGCGTAGCAGAGGAAAAACAATTCTGAATGTGAGTTTTGGCAGGGAAAGACAGGAGAGAGTTTATATTTTTAACTGATTTTTCAATTTTCATTTATCACTTCTAAGTCATAAACCACATTGTGATGTTGCTTGAGAGTCTGAAAAAGTTTAAGAAAATTCTAAAAAGCTATGTAAGTCACTGATAAATATTTCCCTTTTAAACATTTCTTAGTTAATTGTATAAATGCAAAGCTAGTTTAATCCTTTGAGAGAATTTTTAATGGAAAAATAAAATAGAAAAGTCCTGTAATTTAAGGACAAATACAGTAAAACCTTTTTTTTTATCCGACATGTTGGGGAAATTGGGGGTGCCTGTAAGTGGAAAAATTCCGGTTAACTAAGGAGGAAGTGCAGAGTTGGGGGTTGGGGCGCAGGAGGAGTGCGGGGTTTGGGTGTGGGTTCTGGCAACCTGTCCCTGCTGTTCATAGGCGGAGGCGCAGCTAGACAGCTCTGTGCACTGCCCCCGCTCTGCCGCGAGCGCTGGCTCTGCAGCAGGCAAAGGCAGCACGCAGAGCCGCCTAGCCACGCCTCCACCTAGGAGCAGCAGGGACAGGTCGCCGCTTCCAGTGAGCCACGCAGAGCTAGGTAGGGAGCCTGCTGGCCCCGCACCAATCGGACTATCAACCGGACTTTCTATAAAAATTAGAAATGCCAGCTTATAGAGCTTTCTGGATAATACAGCTTTTACAGTAGTAATTTTTATCAAAGGAAACTGGTGCAAAAAAGATACTGTGCATGATTGTTGGGTCACAGAAAGATACGCTGATTGCACCAGAGAACTTCTGGTGCTTCACATTAACTTGCTGCCCAGCATTTGTAACAGATGCCTAAATCATTAGCAGTGGTTGAACAGAATTTTAAGGCATGCATATATTTCAGAGGAAAAGGTGAAGAGAAAATATCTTGCAACAAGCTTTTTAGCTATGACATTAGGAGTAATATTTATTAGTTTACATGATGATTCATTTTTAATGAGTATAGATAAATTGTGTTAATCCACCATATTTAATAGAAATTATATTGGAAACAGTTTATTAAAAGCAGTTGCCAAATAATAAAAAAACTGAGTGTATTATCAAACATGAAATACTTTTTATTAGGAAACTTGTGGAGTATTTGGAGTTAATTTCACTTTGAATCGTTACTGAACGTGATGGCACAACATTGTTAATGATTTGTCTGGCTTCAAGAAGAAAACATTCTGGGAGTTGAGCTTTCACTGTTCAGCTACTATGATTCATAATAGATGATGTCTTCCTGAGTTGGCTGTTGTGTTAGAAACATTTTTGTGCCTTGGTTTCCTGGAAATATCACTCATTGCCTTATCTCTCAATGTCCGAATTCTAGTTGGGAGGAGCGGAGAACTGCCTCTGGAAGGATCCAGTATTTAAATCACATTACACGGACAACTCAGTGGGAGCGACCAACACGGTAAGAAATTCTAAAACATGCCTATAGTGGAGTTCACCTACTGATCAAAAGTACTGAGCACCCACAGCTCCCATTGGGCTCAAGAGTATGTGCTCAGCAATCCCTGAATATCATGCCCCAGATATATTATATTCTCCCCCCTCCTGCTTAATTCACAGGAATCATTCCAGCTAGATTTCTCTGTACTGGTCTTCATATCACTGATTTTTGGTAGATTTCATCAGTGTGGAACCCTAAGAATGCCAGCCTTTATAAAGTGGGCATTATGAAAAAGGGATTCTGACTGGTTGACAAATGTCTGCAGATATGCTATAACTATATGGGTCAGAACTCTTAAGCTAATCGTTACAAATATATAACCAGTTTTTGAAATCAGTATAATCAGCTCCACTTACAATAGAAGTCAAATCTGTCAACCTTCATTTCCTCAAACCAAGTGGACTTCTGCTATTATCTAAGCCTTAAATAGTCTCTGTGCATTTTCTTCTGGAGCTTTTTTGCAGACCCTCTGTCTCTTCTCTTCCTTCCTCAATAAGGAATAGATGGGCAAATGACCTGCACTATTAAACTTTCAGTTCTATTATATGCCTGCATTTCTCAGTTGAAAGTACTGACCATTTATTAATTTTATTTATGAATTTATATTTTCTTGATATAAAAATGTCTATCCTAAGGTCTAGACACACAAATATGTCCCTAGTTTTGTACTGTGGAATGTATGGGTAGACCCCTGTGCCTATATGGATCCCCATTTGACACATTGGAGGTTCTGTGAAGGATCATTGTATGAACCCATAATGTTTGTAACTCTTCTTCACCAACCCAGACTATCAGGACCAACAGTTTCTACCTCACTTATCCCACTTACACGATCCTTATCTGATACCCTTCTCAAAAGGTAGTAAGGGGATGGGACAGATAAGTCTTGTAACATACCCTGAAGTTCCATATGCTCTAACCCCTCTCCTTACCCTAGTGTCCCCATTCCATCTCCTAATCTCTTTTGCGTCCACTTCTCTGTCTTGCTCTTCTCCTTACCCTCTCACTGTCCTCTGGCTCTTCCGCTCCCCCAACCCTTCCCATACAAACATGCATTAGTCTCTCCCATCTTAAAAAATATATATATACCCTTGGCCTCACTTTGCCTCTCCAGCTACCACTCTTTCTTCTCCAAGCTCATTGAACATGCTGTTTACAATTGTCGCCTGGAGTTCCTCTCCTCCAATTCTTTCTAGACCCTTTCCATTCTGTCTTTTATCCCTTGCATTCAACTGAAACCACTCTCGCCAAAGTCTCTAATGTCCTCTTAGCTAAAGCTCAGAACTGCCACTCTATCCTTCTCCTCCGTGACTTGTTAGCCACCTCTGACACAGTTTACCATGATTTTCTTGAAATCTTGTACTGCCTTGGTTTCCTTGACTCCAACCTCTTCTGGTTCTCCTATCTCTCTAATCACTCCTTCAGTGTGTCCTTTTGGAGGATCCTTCTGATCCTCTCTCCAGCTTTCTGTGGTAGTTCGGAGGTTGTGGTCTTCTCTCTTTACACTTTTATTTCTGGGTAATCTCATCCACAAACACACACTCCACTTTCATCTCTGTGCTGATGACTCACAGATCTCCCTCTCTACTTCAGAACGGTCTCCTTCTCTCCAAACTAAAATCTTGGCCTGTGTCTCTGAGATCACCTTGTGGATGTCTAGCTGCCAGCTCAACCTAAACATGGATAAAACAGAGCTCCTAATTTCCCCCCACCTCCAAAGTCCTCCCTGCTACCTCCTTTCTCGATCACTGTGGACAACACCAACTGCAACTGCAACATCCTTCTTTCTGGCCTTGACAAAAGCAATTTTGCCCCACTCATATCTGTTCATAATGCTGCTGCAAAGATCATTTCTTAGCTCATTGCTTTTATCATGTTGCCCTTCCCTTCTCTATTGTATCAAACACAAGCTGCTTGTATTTATTTTTAAGGCACATTATAGTCAATCCTCACCCTACGTATCATCATTCATTCGCTATCAAGCTGTCAGTGCTCACCTCTGATCAGCCCATGATTTGAACCTTTATTTTCAAACAGACACCTGTGTTACCCATGCACTTGGGAGCAGCACCCCATAAATATCAACATAGCTATCTCATTATCCATCTTCAAATCCCACCTGAAAAATCTTTTGCCATGATGCCTACAAAAAACTTGACAACAGTTAGGCTGCTAATATGCGGAGACTGCTGCCTATCTTTCTAACCAATATTGTCGCTTTGTTTATTTGTGTGTCTATCCATCTGTTGTCTCGTCTTATAATTAGATTATAAGCCCGTTGAGACATGAACTGTCTTTTTGTTCGGTGTCTGAACAGTGCCTATTGCAATGGGGGTCATGGTTTATGATGAGGGCTCCTAGGCATTATGGAAATACAAATAATAAAAACAACATGCTCAGGTAATGTCTGACCGGGGGAAAAGTTCCAGAGCTGCAGGCCCCTCACTAAAAATACCCTACTGCCAGCCCCCTCTTTATTTTTTTTTTAAAAAGTGTGTGGAGAGGTGTTAAATCAAGTGCTTCACATGATCTAGACTGCTGCCGCAGCAGAGAGCAGCAGTCTTTAAGGTAGGCAGAACCCATAGCAATTTGAGCTAAAATGAACACCTTGAGTTGTATCTGGAAGCTAATTGACAGCCAGTGCTTATCACAGAGCACAGGCATAATGTGCTTCCTGCAAGAAGCATTGCTAAGCTAGTGTATTCAAACGGTCTTCAGATGTAACCCATGTAGAGTACGCAGGACAAATGCATGAATAGCTTAGCAAGGTCTACGTACAAAAGAGTAGTTTGCTGTCTTATCAAAGCAGTCTTTGACACAGCGGATACCTGAATATTTCTCACGTTTTATGAAATTAAACACGAGTGACTGTTTCCTGCACTTTTAGTGACTGATGCTGTCATCTATTGTATGTAAATGTTGTTTCATAAAGGATAGATGTGGTTGGAGAGAATAATTTCCTTGGTTACAAAAGACAAGTAACCTTTTCTCATTACCTCTCAACAGACCAGCATCTGAATATTCTAGTCCAGGCAGACCTCTGAGCTGCTTTGTGGATGAGAACACACCAATTACAGGAACAAATGGTGCGACATGTGGACAGTCATCAGATCCCAGATTGGCAGAGAGAAGAGTCAGGTCTCAAAGGCATAGGAATTACATGAGCAGAACACATTTACATACTCCTCCTGACCTGCCTGAGGGATATGGTATGTGAGTTAAAAAACAGGGTGACGTTATTCCAGTCCTTCTCTAAGAAATTAAGTAAATTTCTTCTCCCTGCTCTTTGTAACTTTTTTCAATCCTCTTTTTTTCTTTGATAACTGGTTTAAAATGCTGATCTGTCTGGGGTCTGCACAAAGTCTTAAATTTAAGCTTGGATTTCTGGCGATAGCCTTATTGTAAAGCAGTCAGACATTTTGTGAGGAAGGATGGAGCTCCTCTTCCCATTCCATTATTCCTGTCCTTGTTCTCTGAACAATTTAGTGACATTTCTATAAATTGGAAATAAATACTTCCCTGCACTGATTCACAATCAGGTGAAGAAATGTGCCAGATGGAAGCCATTAGGGAAGGGCAGACAAAAATGGTAACTGCATTTGGAGCTATTGAACTTTTCTTTAAGACTTTTGCTGTTCCCAGAATATGTATTTGTTTCCATAGTAGATTCTTACAAGAGTGCACTTAAATGATTGGACATTATTAATGTACCACATGTATTCATCTGCAATTGAGCATATATCTTCAATGGTCAAATGGGCAAACTTAGGTATGATTTGTGGTTAAGTTAAAGAAAGGACTTTGATACATTTTATAAACTCTTTAAATTTAAATTAATCTTGATATTTAAAAGCGTAATTTGATTCTCTTCCCTTCTATATGTAAATTGAAGTGGTAAGGTTCATTTGTGACTTAAGAGTGGAGGGAGAAACTCTTGCGGTTTTTAAACTTGCAGCCCTTGAGCTCAGTACAACACTCACTATGGGCAATAGGTGTCTTTCCACAAACTGCAATGGGAGTTGGAACAAGCCATATTCCAGCATGTTGGAAAACCCTCCCTTATATTTTGTTAGTGTGTAGATGATGGGCGATAAACTGCAAGAACTAGAAAAGAGGAAGCCTGGTGCCAGTAGAAATGTACATTACAATAAGATTGATTAGAAAGAGGCTAGAAAATCATGGAACACATTAAAAATCATATGGCTTTTCCCCCACAATTTACAGAGGTTCACCTGCTTTGTTTCCATAGTATTTAAAAAGGAGGCCATCACTACCGCATCACAAAGCAGTGCAGCCTAGTGGATAGAGTATTGGGCCAGGACTCAGAATATCTGGGTTCTGAGGATATTGTGAAGGCAAGACTATAGCAGGGTTCAAAAAAGAACTAGATAAGTTGATGGAGGTTAGGTCCATCAATGACTATTAGCCAGGATGGGCAGGGATGGTCATAGGTGCCAACTTCCCCTCTGCCCCATGGGTGTTTGACCCACCCCTGCACCACCCTCACCCCACCCCATTTCCACTCCCTTCCCCAAGTCCCTGCCTCTTTACTGCCTCCTCCCCTGAGCATGCCACATCCCCACTCCTCCCCCTCCCTACCGGAAAGTCCTAAGCGCTGCCAAACAGCTGTTAGGCGGTGGGCAGGAAGTGCTGGGAGGGGGAGGAGCGGGGATGCGGCACACTCGGGGGAGGAGGAGGTGAGGAAGGGATGGGGGTGGGGGAAGCTTGGCTGCCGGTGGGTGCGGAGCACCTGCTAATTTTTCCCAGTGGGTGCTGCAGCACCCATGGAGTCGGCACGTATGGGGATGGTGTACCTAGCCTCTGTTTGCCAGATGCTGGGACAGGGAATGGATCACTTGATGGTTACCTGTTCTGTTCTTTTCTTCTGGGGCACCTGGCATTGGCCACTGTTGGAAGACAGGATACTGGGCTAGATGGACCTTTGGTCTGACCCAGTATTGCCATTCTTATGTTCTATTCCTGGCTCTGCCACTGGAGTGCTGGGTGACCTTGGGCGAGTATGTGCCTCAGTTTCCCCATCTGTAAAATGGGGATAATGATACTGCAAAGCACTTTGAGAGCTACTGATGAAAAGCACTGTATAAGAGTGGGGTATTATACTTTGATCACGTCACATATTTTGTCAGGTAAACTATAGTGGATGACATAAGTAGTTAACGTCTGCATGGTAATGTGACCTTGTGCCTTAACATTTCCTAAAATCAAGTGCTTTTAGCTATTCAGTAGGTTTAACTGAACTTCATGAAGTTTCAGTTTTTAAAATTGGAAGACTTCTGGCACAACTGAACGAGCCCTTACCCATGTGGCTAGAGAAGATACTCACACAGTTGTAAGTGTAGTTGGCCAAGTTGATTCCATCTCTCATAATACCTATAAAAACACTTAAACACCGAGATAATGCTGTAATCTCATTAAATGTCTAATCTTTTTAGTGGAAGTTTTTGCATTTGATGTGGTGTTCCTCATTATCTAGAGGCTTTTGTAGGACACTACCAGCTGGTAGTAGTGAAATACCTATGTCATGGATAATGACTTGTTAATTACCTGGATATCTGGGTCAAGGACATCTGAATTGACTCTTTAGGGAAGTGGAACATTTTAAAGTAAAACATGGAATATTTAATAGCTGCTTTGAACTTATGCTTTTTTAAAAGTCTGCATTCTTGTCAAATTTTGTATACAGACTTAATCTTTCTAGTGTACAACTAGGGGAATATTGGAATACTTTTGTTTTAGACTACTTGAGAAACGTTACCACATTTGGTAGTTCTGGAAGGCTGGTACAAAGACTGTTTTGAAACATGTTTCCACGTTGTTCAGTTGCTGATATAACTTCTGCTATACCCTGCTTAATTTTTTTGTTTAAAAATCACTTTACCAAAAAGTCTGATTTAGATCCCTATAACAGTACACTTAGGCTTTGTCTACACCACGCAGCTTTTACAACACGGCCGTTACAGCTGTGCTGCTAAAAGGCACGCAGTGTAGCTGCTGTTTGACGGCAAAAGAAAGCTCTCCTGCTGACAAAAAACTTCCACCCCCCACAAGCTGCAGCAGCTTTGTTGGCAGGAGAGTGCTCCTGCTGACAAAGCCCTGTTCACACTGGTGCTATTCATCTGTAAAAATTTTGTATTTCAGGGTGTATGGTTTTTTTAACACCTCTGAATGACAAAAGTTTTGCCGACAAAGTTCCAGTGTAGACAAAGCCTGAGACTCTCTCTTCATGGGACTTTTACTCCTGTTATAACCATGGAATATGTGCTAGTTAAGTGTTTGTAAAATGTGTGCTATTCTAGAGTTTAGGCACTGCCTTAGAGGAAGTAAAAGCCCAGTATTGCTGAGGTTTTATTATGTAATCCCAGATGTAGACACAATTCCAGAAGAAACTGAAACCTTTGTCTCATAATAGACTCCTGTGAACTGCAAAGAAAAGATACTGCTCTCCTATCCATATCTACAAATTGTAGTATTTCCCCGAAACGCTGACTGTAGAAAAACTATTCCACGCCTCTAGCAAAAACAAATATCTAAAAACTGTCAGATTGCCAATTGTCAAGGCTTGCTGCTATGCTAATTGACTCTGATTTGGATTTCTTACTTGGACGCCACATGCAACCTGCTCAGCCTGCTGTCAGGAAGCCTAGCTCTCTCCACATGTTAATCCGATGACAGTACCTAGAAACCTTCCATGGAAAAAATCTGTTTGTTTAACCACATTTCTAGAGCATCTCTTCTTCTGAGCAGAGCTGTTTGGTTAGTAATTTTGTCTATAATCTTGTAGTATGAGCTGGATGACTTTTTTTTTAATTTTCCTTTTCCCTTTCATGCATGTCAATCTTTGTGGTTGTTCTTAAATTATTTTATCTTAATTAACAGAGCAAAGGACAACTCAGCAAGGTCAGGTCTATTTCCTGCATACTCAGACCGGTGTAAGCACATGGCATGACCCAAGAGTACCAAGGTAAGAGAAGAACTCACATGTCTTTATTGTTATATAAAGTCTTAAATTAAACAGGATGCTCTTAAAATTGCTTGTCTTCCAATATTACACTGTTGAATGTTACTTAAGAGAATATGCAGATTGGCTTGCTAGATGAAACATGCCCATGCCCCCTTCTCCACCCCCACACCTCCCCAGCATCCAGCTTGTCATCTTAACATAAGCCACTCAACAAAATAAATTACACCCCTTGCATCAAAAACTAAGACTTCAAAGAATTCTTCAATAATAGAAAGTCTCAGAGAATAAATAAAACTGTTTTTATGAAAGGAAGTATGGTACCTGATGGTGTTAGTATCAGATATAGCCCCAAAGTTTATAACCAAGTCTGGCTTTTTATCCCTAATAAAATAATGGAACACACAGTAGAAGATGGAAAAATCACCAAGGCTTTGTCTACACTACACAGCTTTGTTGCTAAAAGTCAGGCAGTGTAAACGCTGTTTGTTGGCACTTTTGCCGACAAAATACTTCCACCCTCTATGAGCGGGGTTCGTTTTGTTGACTGGAGAGCACTCAACTTCTGTCTTTCGGGGGAATGGGGGCTTTTAAGCACTTGTGAACGACATTGTCCTTGAATTGGCAGTGTAATCAAAGCCTTAATATGTAGGGCTGGCTCGTCAAAAGTTCTCAGCTCCCACTGAGAGAAATGGGAGCTCCCAGAAGCTCAGCAACCTGGCTTCTGCCTTTAGGTACCCAAATGAGAACTGAGTTCTTATAAAAATCTGGCCCATAGAAGATAACTGAAGCATGAGAATTTAGCAACATAAATTTTAAGTGCAAATCTTGTCAAACAAACTGGATTATTTTTTTGTTTGCAGACAAGCCTGGGAATTTAAATTCCTAACTGTGCTGGACATTAAAAATTGTGGATTTAACACAGAGCCTGGTTTTATGGCTCATTACAACAATTTGTAACACATTCTGCTGCCTACTCACCCTCCTTTGCTCTATGACTGCAGAGGTGCTAAGTGCCCACTTCATTTTAAGTGGTCTCCTAAACACCCCTTGTGTTTAACAATCTGTCCCACCTTCTATTTAGCTGCAATACTCTCTGGTTACCTTCTGCAGATTTGAGGAAGAGCTCTGTGAAGCTTGAAAGCTTGTCCTTTTCAACAATAGAAGTTGGTAAAATAAAAGATATTACCTCACTCATCTTGTCTCTCTGGGTTATTTTATTGACAGAATTAAAAAAAAAATTGAAAAGAATATGGTTGATGTCTTGTATGTTGAGACTTTAATAATGCATTGGATACAATATCTTATGGTCTCACAATCAAAATAATTCAAATTGGCTTGGATATGAATACTATCCCATGGTGAACTAACTGAAGGACTGTAAATAAAAGGGAAATGAGAAATGACAGTTTTTGAAGCTGAGAAAGGCGTGTAGTATATTACTTCAGGATTTGGCGTTAGATCCCTTTTCATTAAATATCTTTCTTTAATGATCTGGAAGAAGGGAGCAGGCAGCACATACATGAAATGTACGTATTACACTAATTTGGGAGGAGATGATATGAACACCACTGAGGACAAGGCAGTAATACAAAGGGACTTAGATGTGATAGAAAGGGATGCTCGAAACAGCAAAATATGATTTAACTTGGAAAATGTAAGCCAATATGTTTTTGTAAAAAGGTAACTTGCAACACTGATACTCAATGGGATATAGAAGTTGTGAAAATGGTGGGATACGCCTAGAGGTGACCATGGATAGCGTTTGTAATAGTCCAAAAGATCCAATGTAAGGCTGTGTGTACAGGGGTATTGTATAGTGGAGCAAGAGGGAATACATAGACTGTTCCTTGGATATTGTAGTTAGTTCAGGGCACCTCATTACCCATAGACAAATGGAAGGAGTACACACAAGAGAACCAAATTGATAAAAGGGCTAGAAGGCATTGACTTGATTCTTTACACACAAAAAGCTAATGTGTACAACTTGGCTAAACATTTAAAGGGGAAGATTAATCTGAAGTGTGTAAATATCAGGAGGAAGGGGAATATAATTAGGAGTAATGAATTAAGAGGGAAAAGAGATCACGAAAATATTCCATACATTGATGAGATGTACTAAATTCTGGAATGGTCTTCTAAGGGAAATGGGGAAGCCCAATTTTCTTGACATATTTGAAACTAGATTAAGTACTAGAAAAATGTGCTCTGCAGAATAAATTCTGCCTTTTCAGGGGGAGATGGACAGGATAATCCAATACATCTTTGCATCTCCACTTTCCAGAAGGTTGAGGTTTACTGTCCCACTCATTAAACACATCCCTGTCTGTGTAAAGAGAGAGAATTGTTAGTTTAAAAAAAATCCTTGTTAACACACTGGAAGCTCTTTAAGATTATTACCTCCTAAAATCTGCTGATGCTAATGTAAAAATGGCATGTACAGTCCTAAATTGGCAGCAAGCCCTGAGATTTATAAGAAACTTAACAACTCTGTGGTTGGCTTCTGCTCATGTTCATTCCCATGTAAATGGATGCTGTATTGCCAGAAGTGGGTAAGGTGCTTCAAAACCATAGTATGAAGAACAAAAATTAAAGTTTTTAATGAAAAAGTGACACTTTTGCTGTTTGAAATACTACTGTTGAGATAAGAAAAATACCTTTATTGTGACATTGTCCTTTGGGGGACTATGGAGAAGACTTTCTAAAACACAAAAGGCAATTAAGCAGCTGATGCCAAATTGTCAACTGCTGTTTGTGCTTAGAAAATCTTCCCCTGCATCACACTTTCCAACATTTTCTGTGAGCAATATATTCTCTATCTTGCTGCGTAGAACTAGTCTCCATTTGTATGTGGGGACTTTTTTTAAAATACACCTTAATTTATCCACGCTTTTTGTGCCTCAGATAATTGAAGTTGCAATTGAGAGCATATTGACATTTAGTTGTTTGTGGGTGTGATAAGGTGGCTTAACATCTACTTCATAGAGTACTTCCGTCATTTTGCTCTGTCATTATTTACGGCTACAGACTCGATGCAAGAAAGGAGGGTTTAGAAATTATACCTGTAGCCTATATAAGTACATGCCTCTCTCTTAAATAGATCAGCCTCATTTTGATTGTTCAGGTTGGGGATGGGGAAGGAAATCCAAATTCTAGACTGGTGGCGGAATATAACAACATTTATATTCAGCTATTTTTGTATTTAATAGATTTAATTAAGAGCAGCACAAACTTCTCAAACTGTAATTATAATGTAAAAGATAGAAGCTTCTGTGTGATAGCAAGAGGTCAGTGGATCTGCAAATTAACTCATTATGAAAAATTGATTCATTAAAATGCTTTGGACAAAAATTATTATTTGCTAGGTATTTATTGCTCCACCTAAAAAGGTGAGCTACTAAAGAGATTTCCTTTCACTATACTTATTGTAATCTTGTAAATTATTTCATATATCCTGTGTTAAAATACTATTTTCTAACTATTTACAATGACACAACTCTTTTCTGAATCAAAAGCAGTACTGCTATGCTTCATATTCTACAACAAGACCTCACAAAGGGTATAGTGGGATTGACAGTTTTCTACATTAGTTGAAGACTGCCATTGTTACAAACTGGTAAAGAATTGGGGCACTGGTCCTTTTACAAAAGATACCAAATGCTTAAAGATGCAGCATAATAATTTGCTTTGTAAAAAGTCATAATCTGTGTATTTGGGGCCAAATTGCTTCATGAGTTACATATGCCCTACTTCCAAGGATGTCAACAGAAGTTGAGCTAGAGTACCTAAAGGTTGTCAGGGAGAAAGGATGTTTTATCATTCCTCAGAGAAATGCTATGCAGTTTTTAAAAAACACAGTATTCATCTTAAATAAATTAACCTGCATATGCTACTTGCATTCTTCTGACTTTAATAGAGATTACCTGAGACCACTTAATTGTTTACTTAAAATACTCGTTAGAGCTTTTCTTGCATCTAATTGTTTGTTTGTTTTTAAAACAGCCAAAAATGACTTTTTGTTTGGGCAGATATCATGCATAAATCTTCATGGAAAATGTAACTAATCAGAAATGTGGTTTGTTTTGTGGGAGTTTTTTAAATGTGATTGAGTGGCTTAAATGACTATTATTATTTTTAAAACTGTTTATTGTTAAAACTGGTGCAACTACGGTTGGCAAATATGGTGGCAGCTTTTATTTTTGTTTTAAATCTGTATTAAATTAGTATCTGATTGTTATTTTGTAAAAATGAAGATTATGTAATAACTGCTTTTCCAATGCATGTGTAGTCGGGTGTGTATATTTTCATTTTCTTTGGTAGGATTGTACCTTGGGAGTAGAGATTCCAGCTGAACAGATTAAGTTTCTGAAACAATACATTTTCTCAGACTTCATGGAATTGTTCTGTTACATTTACACTTGTTTGGCTCAGAGGCCAAATGCTGAGGTATTTTTCATTTTATATTTGTTTTTGCAGGGATCTTAGCAACATCAATTGTGAAGAGCTTGGTCCACTGCCTCCTGGATGGGAGATCCGTAATACAGCAACAGGCAGAGTTTATTTTGTCGACCATAACAACAGAACGACACAGTTTACAGATCCGCGGCTATCTGCTAATTTGCACTTAGTTTTAAAGTAAGTTTGAGAAGTGTCCAGCACGTATTAAATTTAATATTAGAACAAGAAGGTGACTTGTGAGAGTGCTTGTTATAAGCCAAGGCGCATTCTGTGTTATGTAAACTCTCTGCAACAGTATTTGCCCTTTAATTAACATGCTGCAGACATCTGTGTAATAACATAATATATATGAGAGAGCTTTGATTACTATATAAATATTTTAATCTCTACCACCCTTCAACAGGGGCGTGGCCACTGTGATGTCATGGGGGGGCAGGTGCCATCCAATGGAAGAGATCTGCCACCCCAGGTGAGAGATTGTATAACAGTGGCATTTATCCAGGGACAGTAAAAGTAGTGCCTGCTGTACCTTTTTGCATTGTCTTCAGATTTTAATGTTTTAATCTATGGGGTAACAAACTGATTTAAAAAAATTAGATGACATATTTTGTTGTCGTTAAAATAAAACATTGATGCTTTGGGCCAGGGAGCAACTAGGTATCCTTCCACAGTTTGTCCAGCTCCAGATCTCTAATAAAGACAATTAGAAACATTCTGAACAAAAAGAACCACTCATTAGAAATGAAGCTACTACTAAACACAGAGAAAAATAGTAAGGGTATTTATGATGTGCACTAGGAATATGTCCCAGCATTTAGAATCTTAAGCAAAACCTAAATCTGGGTATTTTCAGATACTGCCTTTTTATTATTATTTAAATAAACATTAAGGAATTCTGGCGCTTACTTTCATTCCTGGTGTACTCATTTCGCATTGGAGTGTTTCTATACCACTAAATGTGGAAACCAAAAAGAATACAAATGTTTGTTTTGTCTAGACACAGCTATCAGCTTGACCAGACATTGCTGGAATTTTGACTCTGCTGTTTCTCCCACTAACAACTTTTTAAGACCTTTGTTTCTGGAAACACCTGCATAGCATTAACTAGGTGTTGAATGGAAGAAACAATGAAGAGCTGGATGGAGAGAAAGGAGGTGTTGGGGAGGGATGGCAATACATTTTCTTAAAGGGAATCAGGGTATGTCTACACTTAAACTGCTACAGCAGCACAGCTTCAGTGTAGACACTACCTGTGCCAACAGAAGGGGTTCTCCCATTGGCATAGATAATCCACCTCCCCAAGAGGCAGTAGCTAGGTAGATGGAAGAATTCTTCCTTTGACCTAGCACTGCCTACACAGAGGGTTAGGTGAGCATAACTATGTCTTGGGGGGGTGTGTGGATTTTTAGCTATGCCAATAAAAGTTCCCGGTAGACCAGCCTTCAGTCATTGGGAAGTGAAGCCAAGGAGAGTATGTCAGGAGCCAGCAAGTAGAAGAATCAAATTAGGTTCCGAAAACATCCAGAAAAGCTTTTTATGTAATTTGTGCCATCACCTAAGTAGGCTAGCTGGTTTGGGAAAATGGCTTTTGTCTGGACAATCCACATCTGGAATCTAGTGTATTGAGAGAGAATTTGCCATCTAAACATGAGAAAAAAATATTTTTAAATGTTTTGAGGACCATATTTTTGAGTGTTATGGGCATTTTATGAAAGTCTTCGTAGTACAAGATGGCATCTTTTTATGAACGATGTACCTTTTTTTCTTAACTGTGTTTAGATTCCTTGTCTCCTTAGCTGCCTGCTGGCATTGAAACTGAATTTATCAGTGATACTTTGGGAGCCTGCACACATCCAACACACAGAACTATTTTTATTTGGATATTTTAACCAAAAATTCTCTTGTACAACAATACAATTTTTATATTTGTAGAAAATTCAATTTGTAGGAGTATATTTATTTTTTAAAAAAGAAATATTCTGGTTAGCACAGCCTCCGTTTAGATCCACCAGTTGCCATTTCATAGATATTTACAAAATAACTATGACATGGTCGTTCGCATGACATTTTATTGTGCTTACAATAGAGCTAGCTTTGCATCAGAAAAATCCAGTTTGACTAGCAAACTCCAGAACCATTTTACACTTCTTCAAGCTGTAAAGACCTATAACAACATGCTTAAGTTTTTCATTTGTACATCTGTCTTTCATTAGAAAAGGATTTTAGAAATTCAACCAACAGTGTGTGCAGGCTGATAAATCTTCTGTAATGTTTATTCTTTTATTGTACCAGACAGGATATGTGAAAGTGATTCTCTCTCCACGCCCCCCCATTTGCTCTGAAGTAAAAACACGTCATTTGCCTTAGGCCTGAAAGATTTTTGTAAATTATTTGAAAAATAAAATAATATTGTTTAAGAGGGATGGGTGGAATATAATTCCAAGTCCAAAAATATAACATAGGGTTCAGTTCAGATGATACTGACTTTTCCATTGAGCAGAGATGCCATTTTGCCCCGATGCCATTATACGTAGCTACCTAATTCTGTTTAAAATTTAAATATTGGCCCAGAGTTACTGATAGTTTTCAAAGCTGAATGAGTTAAATAAATGCTTCATTGAGTATATTACTTTGGAAGTGTAGTTGAGCAATTTTCTGGTGATACAAACATTGAAAAATAACTATGAAAATAGCAAAATACCAGCATTAACAGTTCAGTAATGGTAAAATAATGTTTTTATTATTTTAAGTACTGCAAACTATTTAGCTAATACTTCATTGTGATTTGTTTTTGGTCTGATTCAGCTAATACTGTTTTATTTTTCTCCCTCCAGTCCTGCTGATATTTTAAAAAATTGTAATTTGATGCATAGTTCTTAAACTCATGCTGATTTCACAGATTACTTACTTTTCCTTTAAGACTGAGATTAATTGGCTTTGTATCTACAGGACTACTATCTTGAGTACGGTATATAGCATTACCTTGTCTGGTAGGCCTTATACAAGGGATGTTTTTACTGGCTTGCCCTTGTGGAATTAGAATGTGCAGGAAAAGGAAATTATTCTTTCATTTAACTTGAGCATCATCAAGAGTTATCCTCGAGTATATGGAGTTTATATTGTTGTTAAACATCAATCTATTGTCATATGTCTCATCATGAGTGAGAGGATAGTGTTAGATATAAGTCACGGGTAGAAATACATAGCACTAATGATGTAGGGCTGGATTCAGGAGCTATGTGGGGGACTTTGCTTCAAGGGCCATTTGGAGGTGGACCTTTAGGGCTGGTCTATACTAGACGATTAAGTTGACCCAGCTACGTTGCTCGGCAATGTGATAAATTCATATTCCTGAATGATCTAGTAAAACTGTCATAAGTCCCTGTGTAGACAGTGCTAAGTTGATGAAAGAATTTTTCCATCGACATAGCTACTACCTCCTGGGGAGGTGGCTTACCTTTGCCAATGGGAGATCCCTTCCTGAAGCACTACAGCAGTGAACCTCACCACTATAGCGTTTTAAGTGTAGACAAGTCCGTAGAAATGATTGTCTGAGTTTTTTGGGAAAGAATGGAGAGGGAAGTAGACTGTCTTACGCTTTAGCTCTGAGTAGCACTGAGATGTTGGTTGTCTTCCTCATTAAATCATTTTAGTGCCTTTTTTAGGATAATGGTTTTAAGATCATTGTAGCTCATTGTAAATAAAACCAACCATGGTCACTTTACAGAGGTATTTTTAGAGTTTAAATTTAATTTTCTTTCTTCACCCCAAATAACTGCTCCTGGAGATTTCTCTGATATCTGCTTCTTGCTAAATCTTATGCAAAGTAGTTTACAGTTTATTCTGTGAAATTTGCAATGGCAGAAGGGGGGAGGAAAAATTCCATTGATACCTGTTTCCTGACTAGCAGATAATTAATAAGTTCTCTGTCCTAAATATTGGTGGTAGAACTGAATTTAATTCCATTATCCCCTCCTTAGAGCCTGTGGGTTAAAAGCAAATATTAACATTAAAACTCTTTTTATTTTTGTTTTAGTGATTTAGAATGTGCCCTATGGCAGTGTTTATCAAACTCTGGCAGCATGGACCACCTTGTAATTGTTGTTGGTCTGCAGTGATCTTTCTGGTCCCAGTTTTCCTCCTTTTTCGCCCTGCTAAATTGCATTAAAAGAAAGGGTTCTGTAATAACAGAATGGCTACTGAAACCCTGGAGCAAGCTGGGACTTTCGCTTTTAACTGCCAACCCTGAATGTTCCAGTGCTGAAAGCTTGCTGGAAATGACTTCTGGTTGGCCATTGTTCATAGGGAGCTTTCTAGCAGATCATGTTCAAAACAGTCAACAGACTGTTTAGAATCTTTCGTGTATGAAGTTTGAGATATCATTAATAAGTCAACTGAAAAAACACATACTGAAATGTAACCTTCATTATACAGTACTGTACATTCAATGTACTATCTTCTGTGTTCCACATAAGACTTTTTGCTGGACAGCTTAAGTAAAGTGTACCTTTTTTACACCGTTGTGCTAGGTCATGGTTTCCCAGATGATGGGTCATGACCCACCAACAGGTCATGGGAAGATTCTAAACGGGTCACAGGTATAGTGCAGAGGGGGAGCCCAGCTCACACTCACCCTGGAGCTGCGGCTCCTTTCCTGTGGGGCTGGGCCTGATTCCGCACTCCAGACATGGCCTGGCATGATAGGTTACAGCACCACTGAGATTTGGCTTGGCCACCCCACTTTCATGACAGAGTGGCACTGTGGCCCTGTGCCTAGAGTGGGGAATTGGGTCTAGTCCAGTGGGATGGGAACTGCCACTGGGGGGTGAGTGCAGGTCAGGCTCGCTCTCTATCCCACTCCCCCATCCCCACAGGTTCTCCCTTCTGCACTGGGCTGGGATTAGGGTTGCTGGGGTGGAGGGTGATGCTGCGGGTGGCCAGTGCCCCCTCGGTAGGGTGAGGAGAAAGGGGCAGAAGAGGACGCTGGCCTATGATTTTGCCCCCTTCTTCTCCCCATGAATTTGGACCTTGGTTGGCTTGCAAAAAAAGACAAAATGCAGTTGGTGGGTCACCTTATTAAAAAGTTTAGGTATCACTGATCTAGCTCAAAGAATATCCACTTATTGTGTGCAAGATGGACACTTTCACATGCCTGTAGCTTTAGAAAATCTCTTAGAATTGGTAGTAAAACTACGTGATTATCTGTGCCAATTAGTTACATGTGAACTCCCTACATTCCTGTGGCCCAGACTAGTCCAGGTACAAGGGACAAGGTCCTTGCCAAGCTGCCAATACAAACATCTTTTTGTAAGCTTACTCTTTTTCAGACAAGCCATTTAAAACAGACTGTGGTATTGACTGTAGATTAGAGGCGTAGTGTTTGGCATATCCCTGAATTTTAAAATGGAGGAAGGTAAAACATGCAAAGGAAATATGGAAATGGTATCTAAGAAATTCAGTGTCAGCAGCTCAGTGGTAAAACTGTATAGATAATGCTTTATTATACAGTGCTATAACCTTTTACGTACTTCATAGAATAGCACTAATGGAAATAACAAACCCTGAAACCAGCTACTTGCCAAGAAAGACAGAAGCATATGTCTTTGGTCAGGATAAAGTCTCTGGACTTTTTTCTTTTTTCCTTTTACTGAAACTGGACATTTTAAAAAATGTAATTACAATAAGTAACCATGTGTCATTGAAACTAGTTTTGTTGTAAATACTAAAATTTAAAAAATATCTGAGAGGGAAATACAGGCATGTGACTTGAGTTTCTGAAAATAGCTCTGTTTATTCCTAGCCGTCAGAACCAACTTAAAGATCATCAGCAGCAACAGCAGGTAGTATCATTGTGCCAGCTTCCAGATGAGGCAGAATGTCTGACTGTGCCAAGGTATAAGCGAGACCTAGTGCAGAAACTCAAGATTCTGAGGCAAGAATTGTCACAGCACCAACCCCAAGCTGGCCACTGTCGTATTGAAGTCTCCAGGGAAGAGATTTTTGAGGTAATCTGAAGCTAAGGAAACTCTACCCATTTTTAAGTGACGGGAGAGAGAGAGTAGGGGAGGGAACTTTTCCGAGGGGGTGGTGATGGTAAGGGTTGAGGAGAGTGTATAGATAATCGTAGATCCTAGATGGGATGGGATTCTCTTCCAGGAAAGAAATGAAAAAGGAGGGGCAGTTGTTTAGGAGAAGGGAGGGTGTAGATTGAAAAAATTTTTTTTATAAATATAACAGGTAAATAACTTCATATAGCATTCATCTTTGATATTGTAATTACACAGTATGTATCTCAAATACACATTTTTGTTCAGATTTTTGAATTCTCAAGGCTGCTGACTGACAGGAGACACCCAAAGTGCAGTGTTCTCACTGGAATTTTGCAACATTGTTTTGCTGAAATGATCTTATGCAGTTGTAATTCTTTGGCTCCCCTCCACTGCAACCTTCTCACTTTACACTTAACTTCCAAGTCTCCACATTGTGGTCACCATTTTTCCACCCAAGCGGGATTGGATGAGTCTTCCTTTGAAGACTCGCTCATCTCACTTTAATTAGCTGGGGGGCTGCTGTGCAGTAATCAGACATGCCAACTCACAAATTTATCATGAGTGACGCGATTTCTAAGTAAAATTGAGCCTCACTCACGATCTTGCGATAGAACTCTCAAATGTCAAGAATTTTTTATATATATTTGCTAAAAAAAAAAAAAAGACATTTGAGAGCTATCGCGAGATCATGAGTAAGGCCTAATTTTACTTAGAAATCACTGTCAGCCAACAACTTGCCCTCCCCAGGGCGCTCGCTGTACTAAAAGGTACGTTTTTAGCTGTGTGGTTGCAGAGGAAAGGTTGAAAATGTGACCTGAGAGCACCTTAGAGGCTCAGAAACCAGTAGGGAAATAGAGAACCCACATTTCATTGGCTTAAAAATCATGAGGACTTTTTTTTAATCTCATGATATTTGGGGGTCTGACTCATGATTTTCTAATAGCAAGGGTTGACAACTCTGAAAAGCTGTAGTCCCTTGGAGGCGGGGTGCTAGCTCCAGGGGATCATGACATTGCTCTCATATAGAAACTGTACATTTAATACCCAGTTCTTCATTCCTCCTACCTCTTTGTTCTTCAGTTTCTTTAGCCACACATTTTCTTCCCATAGTGTGTGGGAGTTACCTTATAGAGGTGTAACTCTAGGTTTCCCAGTAGCAGAAGGCATCCAGTGCTTGCAATATTTGATATTCCTTAATGCTCCCCTGAAGATTTGTTTTTGTACCTACCCTTTACAGACTGCCCATGTTTTGTCTTCTCAGACAGGAGAAATGAGCCCTTATATAGCACTTTCAATTTTCAAAGCAGTTTACTGACAATTATAGCTTTTAATTACTTGTAGAAGCTATAGAAGGACAAAACAAAAGAGAAACAATCCCTGCACATGACCAGAAATTTAAGGATCCGTGGCTTTTCTAGCATATCTAGTCTTTTATTTGACGGGTAATGTTATATTGGTAGAAAACATAGTAGTTTGAGAAATGGTGGTTAATAACTGAAAGGACACAGTCTGGTTTAGGTACTCAGAGTCAAATGATTTACCATAACAAATAGTAGTAGGATGTCTATCCATAAACAGCAGTGAATAAGACAGTAGATGGTGTGATTGCAGGAGTCTTACAGGCAAGTCATGAAGATGAGGCCGAAGGACCTGTGGAAGCGATTAATGATAAAATTTCGTGGAGAAGAAGGCCTTGATTATGGAGGGGTTGCCAGGTATGCTAGAAAACATGATCTAAATTATCCTGCTTCTAAGTACTGTGTCTTTTTAAAGTCTTTTTTTTAATGTGTGTTCCACTAATAACTTGTACATCAAAAAATTTTCTCTCAGTTTTCTGGTGTTTCTCTAGAGTAGAAAATATTAATTCCTTTGTTGGGGTATATCTTGTAAGTAAATCTGCAAGATTACTGCAGATCTTAACATAGATGCATTTTAAATGTGAGATATGTTTCTAGTAACTCCACTGAAGATGTAGTTGGTTTTTCCCCCCTCTGGTTACTGAAGCTTAGATATCGGAGACCATTAAGAACTGACTCCACCTTGTGGTACATTTTTGGTAAGAAAAGTGAGTCTAATATTGTAGTTTTGAATGAAAAACTTTGACTAGGATTTAAAGTCAAATGTTAGCAGTTACTAGAGTAGGGAAGTAAGCCTATTTTAATTTTTCACTTGTTAAAAAAAACAGTTTTTTCTGCTGGTAGCAAATGTTTCAGTTTAAACATCGTTTAAAATGGTTTTGATATAACAGCTACAAGTATTTTAACATATGAAGTCCTTGTTGCTACTGTAAAATAACCTAGATGCTACTGTAATACAGTCAAAAATATTAACATGCCCATCCTTGCTGGCATATGGATTTGTGACCTGTGAATTAAATAAGCTGTGAGATAGAAGTTAACGTATTTATTGTGGTGAATAGCACTTTTATGTTAAATTCTAAAAAATACATAAGTAGTGAGAATTGCAACTTTCATTCATTCTTAAGCATCCATCTGCCCCCCAAAATTGGGTAGTATTTCTTTGGCATCTTTAGGTGCTGTATGGCAGGTTGTCGTAATGAAAGACACAAGGCAACTATTATATTGAACATATCTTTAGACCCCTGCGTGGTTACAAAATGTGTATCTGCATCTGATCCGCGATCCGCAAAAATGTTCCCGCAGATATCCACATCCGCGGGTATAAAGCAGATAACCGTGGAGTTGAAGGGCTTTACATAACTTTACTTGATTTTGCATAATAACACTACAGTGTGTTTGCTTCATGTAACCTCCCATCCCTGGAGGATAACTTCTCATTTTAATCATTACTGTTACAACAATCTAATATTTTGCTGACTTAATTACAGCTGCTTGTTCAGTTATAACAAAAATGTTTCAAAAGTAGAAATAACAGATGCAGTAAGGTGTCATTTTTCATGCTTCTGCTAGTGTTTTCTAGCACTACTTCTGGTTGGCTTACCTTGGACAATCAGCCCTCTGCTTTGCTGGCAGCCAAAGAAGCAAAGGAGCAGTATGAAAAATTATGGCTGTTCTCCTCCGCCCCTTAAACCAATATGTATCAATCAGTGCAAACCTATTTAGCACTTTAAATTGAAGGCTTTAAAGTAAATGGCCTTCAGGTAATGGATACGTTCAGCAGAGTATCATACAGCAGTGTTGTATAGTGAGTAAAATATACAACTTTGTCTTCAATGTGTAATGTCTAAAGAAGGGGAAGCAACCAGAAACTATTGAGATTAAGTTGAAGAAAAGGCTTGCAGAGTTGGGACCCAGCCAGTTTTCAAGTACTGTATGCTTACTGGGCGAGTAAAAGTAATTTCTGCTTTCTGTCCTGTTTATAGCTTAACTCTGTATTCATCGCTATAAATATTTACAGTTGAAAATCTCAATTTTTGCACAACTTGTCAACATAGAAATGTATTTGTCTGAAACATGCAGTAAAATTATTATTTTATTTCCCCAGGGAATGGCTTTACCTGTTGTCTCATGAAATGTTGAATCCATATTATGGCCTCTTCCAGTATTCACGAGATGATATCTATACGCTGCAAATCAACCCAGACTCTGCAGTTAACCCGGTACAAACGATGACAAACTTACAGAACTCATTCTTTCTGTGACCTAGGAAATTCATCTTCGAATTAGCATGGGGAATGCCTTAGACTTAGGAGTCTAATTCTCACATTATCATTACTAGAAATTGAATTTGTGCAATGGCATGACCCCTTTGTATTTAGAATTAAAGAAAAATACCAAATATTTCTCCTTAATCTCGGTGCCAGACGTTTGAATTGCTTTCCGTAAAGCAATTCAAACAAGTTGTTTCTGTGCTGAGTAATAGGATCTCTGAATTGTTGCCAACCAAGTTCTGAAAGCGTGACAACAAAAAACCTAGAAACTTTTTGATTGTAAAGTTTTAATTCTGAAACTTGAAATTCAGTAAGTACTCTCTCTGGAAGTCTGGTTTAGTTGAATGCATTCGTTTTTCTTTTAATTCCAGGAACACTTATCATATTTCCATTTTGTTGGACGGATTATGGGGATGGCTGTGTTTCATGGACATTATATTGATGGGGGCTTCACATTGCCTTTCTATAAGCAATTGCTAGGAAAGCCAATTACTCTCGATGACATGGAATTGGTTGACCCAGATCTTCATAACAGCTTAGTCTGGATACTGTATGTATTGCACATTTAATAATTGATATTTAAAATTTTGTTAGAATTAATACAAATGTCTAAGGTAGAGTTACAGTATATCTTTCTAGACTAAGTATATCTTTATAGTGTTCATAGTAAACAAAAGTTTTAAAAAATTGAGTATTTCAGCTTTATAGACGCATGGACGTGTGTAGTGAATGTAATTTTTGAACATGGAAGAATTTTTGATTCACTGAGCTTATCGGAAACTATAACATAGTTTTTCTATTTACTGATCATTTAAACCAGGGGTTGGCAACCTTTCAGAAGTGCTGTGCTGAGTCAGTCTAATTTCAGGTTTCACATGCCAGTAATACATTTTAACGTTTTTAGAAGGTCTCTTTTTATAATACTGTATATAACTAAACTATTGTTGTATGTAAAGTAAGTTTTTTAAAATGTTTAAGAAGCTTCATTTAAAATTAAATTAAAATGCAGACCGGTGGCCAGGACCCGGGCAGTGTGAGTGCCACTGAAAATCAGCTCACGTGCCACTTTTGGCACGCATGCCATAGGTTGCCTACCCCGACGTAAACCATTAAAGAGCAGCAGCATGTTGCTAAAAGTGTTGCATCAAAAGGTTTGACAGTGTTCCAAAATATAATTCAAGAATAATAAAGAAGTGTTATGCTTATTATCAATATTTTGAAACCAAATCTGATTAGAAAATTAAATTGAGGTGTCTATCGTAAGTATTTATGAATGTAATACATTTGCAGAGTATGTCTTCTTCACTGAACCATTTGTTTGTTTCCCTCCACAAGAGAGAATGATATTACAGGCGTCTTGGACCATACGTTCTGTGTGGAACACAATGCTTATGGGGAAATTATTCAACATGAACTGAAACCCAATGGCAAAAGCATCCCAGTCACAGAGGAAAATAAAAAAGAATATGTCAGGTATTAAATAATCATCCATCTATTTTTTCAAGCAAAGCTTCTCTTTTAGTTTCCTCCCTAAGAGAGTTTGGCTTGTTTGAATTTATTGCCAGTGCCACATTTATCTAAGCACTAGTACAGTACTTTTATTGTGCTAGGTTGCTGTCAGTAAGTTCAGTTTTTGGGCTGGATAAAGTGCAGGGTTATTGTGTTTGAATATATTTTTCACAAAACGAATTTCCACTTGATTTGCAGGCTTTACGTAAACTGGCGGTTTTTACGAGGAATTGAAGCTCAGTTTCTAGCACTGCAGAAGGGATTTAATGAAGTCATCCCACAACATCTGCTGAAGACATTTGATGAGAAGGAGTTAGAGGTCAGTACACTAATGTTACATTATGTCATCAAGTGTAACAATAAAAGGCTAAGTTGCATCCCCAGTGTTTTTGGGGTTTTGCAGGTGCAATATTACAAGCACCACAGTTAAACACAAAAGGTCATCCAGGCCTTGGAATTTTGAGGTTGATTTCTTACACCTTCACTTCTGTATATCTTCTACAGAATCAGTAGCTGAGTTTGTCAGCTTGAAGCATTCTCTCTCTCTCTCAGATGGTCTGCATTGTTTAACTCTGTTTAGTAGAGTGTATACACACAGGTTTGGGCATTTGTTTTTGTTAATCTTGGGAGTGACTGAATAAGGTGTTGCATAGTGACTGTAGAAGTAGCCACTTCCTTTATTTCAATCAGTTCTGATAGGACATGTAGTATGGATCCCCCTCTTGTACCTTGGTTCAGTTGGTTTTCTGTTTCGAAGTATCTACAATCACCTCATTTTGGTCCAGTGTGTTCTCTGTAGTGGAGGTGGCAGTGCGTTACCCTTAAAGACACATGTATACCTTAGCACTGCCACTAAGTGCTCTGCTAAATGTAAAGATCCAGCACCTGAAATACCGTATTGCCCTGGACAAATGCAGCAGGTTCCCAAAGTCTGTTTGTTTTTAAAAACCGACATCTAATATAGCATCCGTAGCTGGGATTTTTCTCTCTATCAATCCTGCACAACCACAGAGCCATTGTATGTGTGTTGGTTTATAAAAGGGCTAAAGTGTGAATTATCCACATTTTCCTATGTTTCCTTTTGTAAAGTTATTATTGTTATACTGGAATAAATTATGATTACTGTATGGCCTGCTCACTGGGAGAATAAACAAGCAAATTCCGAATAGTTTTGTGTATGCCTCATGAGAACTGGGAACAAAGCATTCTCTGTCAAGAGGATCTGGCTTCTAGAGAAACCAGCTTCCAGAGGAGATTAGGCAAATCCAGAGTTTGACTCGTTCAGAAATACTGCAAAACCTTCTTCTTTGAAATAGGCCTTTCCACCCTCGCAAGAATGACATGCACAATACTGACACTCCCCTCTGCTCAAAGACAACCATTTCCACCCCCAAATAAAAACATTATAAATGCACATAGAGGTTTTATTCAAAAAAGGAAGAAGTGCCAGAGACTCCATGAAGTTCACTAGGGACTTGGCTATTGCTATTGATTTTTAAACTGAAGGCATTCAGATGTAATGGTGATAAAACTCTTAGGCTACATCTACACTACAGGGGGGAGTCGAATTAAGATACGCAAATTCAGCTACGTGAATAGCATAGCTGAATTCGACGTATTGCAGCCGACTTACCCCGCTGTGAGGACAGCGGCAAAATCGACCTCTGCGGCTTCCTGTCGACGGCGCTTACTCCCACCTCCGCTGGTGGAGTAAGAGCGTCGATTCGGGGATTGATTGTCGCGTCCCGACGGGACGCGATAAATCGATCCCCGAGAGGTCGATTTCTACCCGCTGATTCAGGCAGGTAGTGTAGACCTAGCCTTAGATACATGTTCACAGTGCACAGTTTTTATTTAAGCTCTGACAGAATCAGGATGGATGTTATAACAAAATTAAAACAAAGTCCAAGATACATTTTACCTGTGCATTGTCTTGTAAATGTGTTTAAACTGATTTGTACAATATGTGTGGATATGATTGCAATAAAAAGTTACATTAAGAGGGGGAAAAAACAGAATTAGTTGAATTCTGAGAGCCAGATTATACCCCCAGCTACTCATAAACTCCTTCTTTTGAACTCAGTGGCAGCAATGCAACATCTGAATGAAGAATTTAACCTGTAAAGTATACATCTGGAAACACATGACACTTTCAAGCTCCCTAAATTATCTTTGCCATACAGCTTTTGGATATTGGCTGCTCTGTTTGAAATGTTTAAATATGACACCTTGAAAATGTCATACAATGAATCCATTTCTTACTACAGAATAAAATGATATAATTCTATGCCTTTAAACAAGAGAGAGAGCCTGTAACTTTCCATTTGTACTGAAATCTATAGGTATTTTTTTTAAACATGTATTATATTTTGATGCTTAGATGTAATGTCACTTATTTGTATTGACCACTGATGATGTATACAATTATTAACAGCTCATCATTTGTGGACTTGGAAAGATTGATGTTAATGACTGGAAGGCAAATACTAGGTTAAAACACTGTACTCCAGACAGCAACATTGTGAAATGGTTCTGGAAAGCTGTGGAGCTCTTCGATGAAGAGAGGAGAGCACGATTGCTCCAGTTTGTGACCGGCTCATCCAGAGTGCCTCTTCAGGGTTTTAAAGCATTACAAGGTAAAAGTTCGATGGGAACCAACTTAAAAGGGATCCATTTGAGGAAAGAAATAGCACATCACAGAAACCTTGCATAAAAATAAGATTATTGGTCTGTAATGTGACTTGTGTTTTTGTTCTTTAGTTTTGTCTTTTACAAAGGGGTTTTCAGTGGTCTTGATTAGCTGTTTTCAGTATCATTTATCAGATACTCTTCTCTCCTGTCCCATAACCTTGTGACTCTCAGCTGTAACCTGCCCTATTCTTTCATTCAGTAAAGCACTCCATTCTCTAGTCTTCTCTAATTGTAGTGAACTCTGGACATCAGAGACCTGTATGTGATTCTCTTGGCTGTTTTTTCTGGCAGTCTGTTTTGTAATATTCACTTTACGATCCCTCACTGCCTCTTCAGCTGTCTACAATTCACTCCCTGGACAGGAAAGCCAACAAGTAACTTCTTTGCGACTATAACAGGGGTGAGAGAGACTCTTGTGATGTTGACTCCTTCATGGAAGGAGCCACATGGTGGTGAGCAGGCCAGGAACAGAAAGAATCTACTACATTATCCAACTGCCTTTGGAACTCTGATAGAATCTCTACCTTTCTGCAGCAACAGTTCTAACTTTGTCATCCATGCTGCTAGGTGAACAAAATCAGAGGCAATCCGTTCAGGCCTGTTTGCTCTCTCAAGATGGAGGAAAGTGTCTAAGAGAACACACTCACCAAATACACCTCTACCCCAATATAAAGCTGTCCTCGGGAGCCAAAAAATCTTATCCCGTTATAGGTGAAACCGCGTTATATCAAACTTGCTTTGATCCGCCAGAGTGCGCACCCCTGCCCGCCCCGGAGCACTGCTTTACCGCGTTATATCCAAATTCATCTTATACCAGGTCGCGTTATAGTGGAGTAGCGGTGTAGAAGTGTTTTCTTTACCGGTAGAAAGGCTGGATTCCAACTAAACAAAAACCTTGTGATATCAATTGCCACTTACAAAAGCCAGGGGTTCTGGAAACCAACTATCCCCACCCAGCCTTCTCACTCACATAGGGCCTGCGTAGTCTTTTGGGTTCCTCAGATGGCCTAGATCCCCTGCAGTACTAAGGTTTCATTAATGGGCGTTAGTACCTGTTAGCAGAATGCAGTACTCCACTGAGTGCTAACACATATAGGAGGAGCTCTCTACTATGTTGCATATTTAAATGGCAACATGAAAAGCTTAAGCAGAGGTGAGAGCCCCATGTTCATTTAGGTGCTTTCTCTCCTATGATTAACTCACTGTATTACCCACTAGATACTTGCCTTGTTTAATGTTCTGTTAGTGCCCCCTATTACTGCCATGGCTAACTTAACCTGTGTGTTAAATCCTTAACATGAGCTAGAATTTTGCAGCACATACTGTATCCTAGTGTCTGGGAAGGGCCATACAACCACCCAAGTGCCCAGTGGGGCCTTGATTACCACAGAAGTTGTACCACTTTAGCTATATTGGTATAGTTAAAGTTGTACAACCCCTAAGGTCAAATCAGCGGTAGAAGCAGTCTGCACGGTGCACTATACTGATAAAATGCTGCTAACATGGATGTAGCTAGTACTGGCAAAGCTGTAGCTTTTAGTTATATAACTTATTTTCCATCATCACCCTGAGTGTAGTAAGCTGTATCTGTAAAAGTTCAAGTTATTGTCCCTCTGGGTGCATTCGCTGTAGGATGTGCATGCGCTGGTGCACTCTTGATTGCAGATTTTAGTTAACAGTGTGCATGGATCCATGCCTTTGCTCTATACATCCTTGTCCTCTGGTGCAAGGGTATATGGGGGGGGTGGACCCGCCACGGCTCCAGTTCCTTCTCAGCTGCCCTTGGTTCGAAACAAAGCATAGCAGAGTTTTCTGTTAGCTTCTCCACTACTGCCTTCTTAAGCTGAGGGAGGCTAGATTGAAGTTCCTCCTGATGGAGTGCTCTGCTGTCTGAGACCTGCAGGATGTGACGCCCTTCCCTGGCACAACGGCCTTAGTCACTCAGGCTGCAGCAGTGACTTCCAGAGACCGTGAAGCAGCTTCAGAACTAAGGTGCCACAAGTACTCCTGTTTCTTCAGAACTGAAGCACTCTTAAGAGGTGGTAAACTCATTCCCTGGGGAGAGTCTCCAAGTTACCTCTTAGGACAGAGAGCAAGGTGACCTTGCATCCCGGTATGGGTACTGCTGAGGCTTCTGTGTGTACCCTCCCCACACCCCCAGTACCAAGGTACCATTACCCACCAAAAAAACTTCTCTTATGCCTTGTGCTAAGAAGTCTTCTAACAAACTGCACCAAGCACCTCCATAGTTGGCCTGGGAACTGGAGATCTCCAGACACAGTGACTTCTCCTAAGAAGCCTTGTTCAACTGTGCTTCGGTACTGCCCTCCTCTGGACACAGCCACAAAGAACACACGGACTTTACCTCTGTAGTGTACACTTGGAGTGCATGGACTGTACCTTTTGCGCAGGCCCCAGTACCATCTCAGGTTCTTATTGAGCACTGTCCAGGTTTCTCTCCCATGAAGACTTCTTAGTTACAGAAAAGCCTGGGTCTCCCCTCCTAAGGAATACCTAGAGGGATCCCTCCCCGGTACTATTTCACTATTTGCAGCCAGAGCTTCCTTCTGTTATCCTGGATCGCAGCACACAAGCTTCATCACTATGAACCCCCAGTAACGATCCAGCCCTCACTACCTATGCTTGGCGCTCCTCCATTGGACACAGGAGAAGATACCTTCTAGGATTCTACCATTCTTTCCATTCTAACCCCCCTCTGGAGATATTTCCCAAGGAGGAGATCATTGAAACAACAGACATTCATGTCATCCCTGGCAGGAGATTATGCTCTTTGCTTATATACCACCACAGTGGGCTTTTTGGAACACATGGACTCTGTACGGTGACCAGTATTATAGGGTACCCTCCAAAAAGCCCACTGTGGTGTTGCATAAGGAAAGGAAAAGGATGGTCCTGTCCTGGATGACATGAATGTTTGCTGCTTCTTGGATCTCTTTCTCTAATCCCTGGGGATCTATATGCCTTCAACAAAGAGATGACTTACCATATCTCAGATTGCTCAGCATTCTTGACTTTTTCAATACCAGACCTATGAGAGACCTGCAGAACCCTCCAGAAAGAGGTCCAGCTCTTACAAGAAGAGGCCCTCCTTGATGGTGACCTCCCAGTCTGCATCTTCTTCCAAAAAGCCATTTTGACAGGCTTGCAAAATGCTGTTGCAAATTCCCTGAGCAGGCACTTCCAAAACCATGAGAGGTGACTCAGCAACTTGGTTTTTCAGCTTATTTGCCAGTCCTGGGGCCTTCCAGAGGTGGATCTCTTTTCAACACCATCCAGTGCAAAATGCCAACACTTCTGCCCGTGGAGTAGGGAGAATGGGTACAGACACAACTCCATGGGGAACGCCGAACTCTTCCTTTAGCCTCAGTCTCTTGTACGCCTGCCCTCCAGCACCATTGATCCTCCAGGCACTGGAGAAACTGAAAGAAGAACAAGCTTGTAGCTATCTTGATAGCACCATCCTGGCCAAGGCAAGTGTGATTCCCAGAGCTGCTTCATCTCTCTGTGAACATCTCTTTGCCTTCCTCTTGCAGATCTCCTGACACTGGATTTGGGCACCACAATGCACCCCAGTTTCTTATCTCTGCACCTCAAGGGCTGGCTCCTCGATAGTTCTCAGGCATAGAATTGGGCTGCTCTCCAGAAGTTCAGTCCATACTCCTGAGCAGTAGGAAACTAAGTACAAGGAAAATCTATCTGCAAAAGTGGAGGCACTTCCAAGTCTAGTGTACCCATCGATCCATATCCCCTTGTGAATCTCTCCTCACAGATGTACTAGGTTACCTGCTGAATTTGAACATACAAGCTTATCACTGAGCTCCATTATGAGTTACCTGGCTGCTATTAGAGCCTTTCATCCACCAATCAAAGGATTTTCTGTTTCTACCTCACCCACATTCCATAAGGGTTTGTTTTATCTGTTTCATCATGTTAAGGAGTCTGCACCATCGTGGGACCTTAATCTGCTTCTCAATGCCTTAAGGAGCCCAGCTGTTCACACCTCTACCTGTCTTCAAGACTTTGTTCCTAGTAGCCATAACTATGGCCAGAAGGGTAGGGAAGTTAAGGGCACTCATGGCTGACCCTCCCTACTTACATTTTGCCATGACAAGGTGACCTTTTGCCCCCATCCTCATTTCCTGCCTAAGGTCTCTTCAGAATTCCATGTCAGTTAGAACATCTGACTACCAGAGCTTTACCCCAAGCCTCATTCCTTGAGGGAGGAAGCTAGCCTCCATACCTTGGATGTAAGACGGGCCATTGCCTTTTACCTAGAGGCAGAACAAGAGCCTGGAGGGAAAATCCTGAAATGCGTTGATCTCCTTTGCCAAGAGAATGGATAGCCAGTTTCTGCTCAGACTATGTAAATGGGTTTCTGATGCATTCTAGCTTGTTACAAAGCTGCAGGAGCGCATCCTCCTGCTAAGCAGACTGCTCATTCCAACAGGCCCAGTCCACCTTTATAGCCCTTCTTAAACACATACCCATCATGTACAACTGCAGAGCAGCAACCTGGTCTTGTGTGCACATGTTCTCTGGGCACTGTGCTATTCAACCTGCTTCCAGGTCAGAGAGAACCTAGAGCAGCACTCTCTTCAGCGCTGTGCTGAGATCCGCCTCCATGTCAAGACACTGCTACAGTTGAGCAGCCAGAGGGACAATAACTCAAAGAAGGAGAGGTGACTTACCTGTACAGTAACTGGAAGTTGAGATGTGTTGTCCCTATGGGTGCTCCACCTCCTGCCTTTCTTCTCTTCTGCTGTGAAGTCTTCCTGTGCTTCCAGTCTGAGAAGGAACTGGAGCAGTGGCGGGTCCACCCTCCCTATATACATCCTTGTGATCTGGTGTGAGAGTATAGAGTGTAGGCGCGGACCCACAGGCACTGCTAACTAAAATTACTGATCAAGAGTGCACAGGTGCATGCCCATCCTATGATGGAGTATCCATGGGACAAAACCTCTCTACGAACTCCAGTTACTGTAAGGTAATAGCAAAAGGAGAAGTTAATATACTACATTAGGGGCTTTTGCCATCACAGCTGTCTTGGTCACAAATCACACCTTTGTAAACGTGACCCTGAAGTGGATGCTGTTTATACAGATATAAATGTGCTTACACTGGTGTAGATTAGTCTGATGTGAGGAGAAATCAGCTATAGTGGTATGAATGCGACCACACTATAAGTTGTATTAGTTTTAAAAAAAAATCACCCCCCTAACTGAAATAGTGATACCTGTATAAAAACTGTGTGTGGATCAGGCTCTACTATATTACCGTAGTGCAATACAGATTTACATTTGTACGGATAGTTCTTGTGTATCTTTCACCGGCTTAAACAGTCTGAGTGTTGTGCATGTGTGAAGAAAACCAAATTTCTGTCTGATGGGGAAACGTGGAGAGAGCTTTTCCATTTGCTGTTCTGTGTGTTCTCTCCCTCCCTGCCACAATATTATACTGTTTTCATTTCCTTAGTACGTGGCTCATCTGTCTCACCTGCTTGTTTACTTCTCACTCTGCCTTCTTGACAGTTACAAAATAGTAGTTTGGGGGTTATACCCTGTAGTAGTGCTAGAGAATTCATCTTTACTGGATTTGCAGGTGCTGCGGGGCCCAGGCTATTTACAATACACCAGATTGATGCCAGCACTAATAACTTGCCGAAAGCTCATACCTGGTAAGACCATGTTACGTTTTCACTCCTCCATGGAAATATTGGCATTTTGGTAAATGGACACGTGCCCATTGATATAGCACATCTAGATTATCAACTGTCATTTATTTCTCCTCTCCTGATAACTTTTCTGCTTGGTAAAGAATTCCATATTTTATGGCAATAGGAGATAGTCTGGTTTTGTTTATATCAGTGTAGTTCTGTTGGCTATCGTAATGTAATTTAGTAATCTAATACAAGAAGTTGCATGCTTATCACCAAAGTGTTTCAAGGATGTTAAATGCAGTTGTAGTGCAACAGAACTGCATCAATTTTGGATTTCTTGTTAGAGTTGAAACTCATTCTAAAAAGCTTTTGTTTTTTGTTAACAGCTTTAATCGAATAGACATTCCTCCCTATGAAAGCTATGACAAGCTGTATGAGAAGCTGCTAACCGCCATTGAAGAAACATGTGGGTTTGCTGTGGAGTAACCCTTTGCAGACTTACCTGAGACTCTATTTATACTCCTGTCAGCCAGAAAGCCCCCCCCTCAGCCAAGACTCAAGAAATGCTTGAAATACAGGAATGCTTTTCCTCTTTTACTCAAGAACACTGTGAGGAAAAGGACAATTTGGGTATTTTTTTTTTTTTTTGCCTTCAAGAAAATAGGTCCTGTGGCTCTTGCCATGGAACCATTCAGCTGCTATTAAAAACGAATCTCTTGACCATACAGAATGCTGGCTTTTACTACATTTTGACAGTTAAGCAGTATTCTACACTTAAAGACTACTACTATTTTTGTAAAAGGTAATCTGTTCTATTTGCCTACCTGATTTCTATTCTCACAGACAAGAAGACACAACTTCAGCAGTCGGTACAAATCACGTTTCAGCTCGAGTAAACATACTGAACAGCATCTATACCTGCTATTTAAAAAAAAAAAAAAATTTTGGATTATTCTAATTTTGCATAAAATTGGTTAAAAGAATCATTAACTTTTTAATTACAGCCACTTACATGTTAACTGCGTTTTCTTATAGTGAAATATTATATTCTGCATTATATGTTCAACTTAAATGTTACCCAGAATTGGGCTTTTTATATTTTTCAAGCATGAATTACAGACATGAAGTTCTGTGTCCTGTTTCTATCAGTTGTCAGATTCCTAGTATGAGTGAAATACTGCATTTGGTACAGTACTTTGTGTTAAATGTGGAATAGTCCTTTTTTAAAGAGCATTAGTCATTTCAGTTTTTTTAAACAAGCATTTTTGTAACAAGTTGATATTGTTGAGAGTATTTTTGGTTTTGCTTTCAATTTAAAACAAATGCTACATTTTAAAAAAATTCTTAAAGCATGCTGATGAGGTGATGTTGACAGTCTTCTGCCTGGTCATCAGTTCATGTTTCAGAACCCACTGTGTCTATCTAATCAACCAAAGCTTTTTATGTTTAAATGCAGCCAATTCACATTGTGTACTTTTTGATGCTTAAAGACTTATCAGGTAAACCACCTTTAATCTTTGTTTGGCTGCTCATGTCGTGTGGGTTTGCACAAATTACAAATAAGGAAAAGTAACGAACTCAAATGGCAAAAGCTCTTCTGTTAACAAACACGCACGATGTGATGTGCTTTGAAAATGAGGTGAGTAAAGCACAACACTGTCACTGGTTGTAGGGATGAGAGTAAATATATGTAAGAGTTAAACTGTGGGTTGGACAGTTCAAATGGGAACATAATGCACTACCAATGGAGGGAATCCTGGGCTGTTCAAATGAGCATCCTACTGTGAGGTCAGAGTGCTGTCTTTTTGGGGTGTGGAGAAGGTAGGCTACTCACTGCACATTTTTTATAGCAGCATTCTTCTGCATGATCTGTAATCTACAACTGGCATTTTGCCTGCCCTCTTGCACAGTAATGAGGGCAGCAACATTTGGAGGTAATTTCGAATTTTTCTAGTCAGTGTTGGGTTGTTGTTTTTTAACTTGGATCATAATTAATCATCAGAAATCTGCACTATTTTTACATTAATGAGAAACAAGAGTCTTGAACTCACTAAGACAATGGGATGTAAACAATTATTTCCTTTCACAGCATAAGTTATATAATGAACTAGGGATTTTTTTTGTCTTGTCTATTCTCTGTAGTTTGTGAATGTCAACATATAAATTCATTCTGCCAAATCTGACTGCTACAGCACGTAAGCTAATAATGGACTGTGTTCATTGGAATGATTAATAGCCTAATAGTACGTCTATTTGAGAGCAGTTGTAATGAGATCATACCATCACTGGTAGCCCAAATCCACATTTCCTTCAGTAGTATGATTGCTAGATGCTGCTTGTTCTAACAAACATACCCATCTGGGCTCGTGCATGGTGGAGACGTTAGTTGCTTGTTGATGCACACCGGAAGCAGCTAAGAGATCTGCTTTGGCAGCTGGGCTTGCAGTCTGCCAGATCCTTTTCCTCATTTGGAGGGCTTGCAGCTCTATGCTGCACTCAGTCATGTTGAGTGGTAACACTGCCTCTAAGAGACCTTCCCAAACTCTGAGGGTGATGAGATGGATTGTTCTCTAGAGCCAGGGTTCTTTTGTCACTTCACTGGCTGGAAACTTCATTAGTGACTTGCAAGGCCTTTCTGTGCAAGGCTGCTGAGATGGTCTCACTACATTCTTCATCCAAAAGGCATGGCCTATTGACAGCACCACTCTCTGCGGGAGGTGGCTGTTCCTGCCCAAGGTATGGTTGGGATTTTTTCCACAGACAGGTCTCATCCCATGTGACTCCCCTGATCCTGCAGGCAGCTCTTCCCTGTGGTGTATGAACAGAAAAAACGCCTCATCCAAGTGACTCCTTGGGGAGGGGCAATGCAGATCTGTTACACTAGAGGACCTAGCCTGGGGATACCGAGCATAAATACTATATCCCCAGGTTTGACTGCTGCAGCTCAGTGCCTCTTCTGAGCTGGCACTGTACAAGGTCTCTTGATGGCATCCGGCCTCTGCTGTTTCAGGTATGCATCTCCCTCCCCACTGTAGTCTACTCCCTGCATTAAACAGCCAGAACACGCAGCTGTAGCTGGCCCCTATCCTAACCTCCTATAGGTTTGAGATGTTGAGTCCAATGTAAGGGTTTATTGGAATTTGCACACAAAACAAAAACTAAAAAACCCTAATCCAGTGTTTGAAGTGTCACAGCAGCTTTAGCTGTAGGTGAATTGCTTTCCTGCTAGGCATTTTGGTGTTGTGTAATCCCTCTAGCACCACCAGTTCAATGTTGTAAAATCTAACTTCTTAAAATACTATGGACATGGATAGACAAACTTAATATTGCTATATATTTGATCAGTTATGAGGAATATATCAAGTATTCGGAGTGCCTTTTTACCTTCATAACAACTAAGAGCTTTAAATAAAGCACCCCAGCTGGCCAGAAGTTTTCTAATACATTTTGCAGAAGTATTGACCAATGAAATAGTTCTAAAATCATGTCAGCCACTTTCCCTCAAACAGGTGCTAAGCCCTATGTTGCATTGAACCTTGGACTTTCACCCCATGATTAATGTGAATATTTATTTCAGCTTGTCCTTACTGGGTTTTACTTTATCCATTCTTTAGTTGCATAAAGTTGTTTTAGAGAAATGCTGCATCATGTTTTCATGCTGTTGCTTTTCATTATGAATGTTTAATTATGAACGGTGACTATTTTGTAGATTTCAAATATACAGCACATAGTTGAGTTTCAGAGGATTTAATTTCTCGCTGTAAAGAGTTTTGTAATGGTGCTTTGTACAGTATGTATTCTAATTTTTTTTTTGCACATAGGTTCAGCTTCCCTAAACTGATTTATTTTTACCATTTTTTGTTGTATACTAGAGTCCAGAGCACACAAGTTTTCCTTTTGTATTTTTGTTCTACAACACTACATCTGTATTAAACTTCTGGTGCGTTTAAACTGGCTGCATTGATGGAAGTAAAAGCTTTGCTTCTATATCATAAGTATGCATCATACAGCTTAATGTAGCATGCTCACATTGCTTCAGATTTTAAACTGCACCATATAGTTAACAGGTGCCATTTGTTGTATTTAACACTATATAGTAGGTTTTTGACTCTACCACATCCCAAGCTTTGTCTGTAGCTGTAATTAGTTTATACTCAAGTATAATTTCCCCTCCACAAACTGTTTTATTTTCTCATTTCTATTATTTATTACAGAGTGTTTTTAGCATTGATATTCATTGTATTGCCATCCGTTACATGAGCTTTAACAAAACATCTGTATAAAATGGTTTTTAAAAACTTAATGTACCCATGCAGAAGTTGAGCAATAAATTGTATGCTGTTTGCACTGTCACAGCATCATTGGTTTAAAATCGTTTAAAGTTTTTAATTAAAGGTTTACTTTGACTTACATTTGTAACTTTAGAGATGTTCAGGGAGTCAGTCCAATCGTAGAGAGTATATTGTACAGGGTATGAAACTAATCTGATGCCTTCCTACATTTACTTGTATATACAGCAAGTATTAGGCCTTAAAACGGCATTCAGGAATGGATACTGTAGCCAGTTTTCCCTTATACAGTAGAACCTCGGAGTATGGCGGTTCATAACTCTGAACAAAACACTATAGTGGGTCTTTCAAAATTTACAACTGAACATTGACTTAATATAGTTTTGAAACTTTATATGCAGAAGTAAAATGGTGCTTTTCCTTTATTTTATTTTTTTTAGTAGTTTAGGTTAACAGTGCAGTACTGTATTTGCTTTTTTATTTTTTTTGTCTCCGCTGCTGCCTGATTGCATACTTCTGGTTCCAAATGAGGTGTGTGGTTGATTGATTGGTGACTTCATAACGCTGAAGTTCCACTTTACTTTGTCTCTCCTAGCTCTCTCTGTGCCTTTTAACAGTAGCCACTTGAATATCAACATGTCTCAAAGGGGAATTGATCTCTCTTGATCAGTGAAGGGGTGACTATTCTGCTGGCTTTAGCTAATCTGAACAGAATTCCTTGCAGGAAAATATATATGTGAAAAATATGTGAAATCAAATCAATTAATACTTTCTCTTCATTCCAACTCATTAAATTATAGCCCTGGTGGACTGGGGGGAGGAATTGGTCTCTTTTAGTATGTTAGCTGTTTGGAAGTGATTCTGAAAAAAAAGATTTAACGACTATCACCACCAGAAAAACTATTTATTTAAGCTGTCAGAAGCTTCAGTCAAGGTGCAATTCTCTTCTTTCTCCCACCAAAGCTAGTGTGAACTTTTTTCCCACATGCATGAGACTAAATCTCATGAATGCTCTTGTGACTGAGTAGTTCTATTTCTCTTGTAAATTGCTTTCTGTAATCTCTTATCAGGCCAAGCCCACAATGTTGAGTGACAGATACCAATAGTCTTATACAGGCAAATCCCAAAGATTTCTGCTTCTAGCAGCTAATCCTATAGGGAACAACCAACTTTAGGCAAGGCCTTTTACTGAAAATTCTGCTTTGGGTCCTGTTTAGTGAAAAGAGTGTATTCTAGAGGGTGGATCTAAAACGTCTAGTTTTGTTAAACAGCAAGAGACTTAGTCCTTAGCCTACTAATTAGCACTGTGCTTTAATGTGTTAGTTATTTTTCAAGCATATTAACATCCCTAGTTACTTTGCCTGTAAGGCTACAACACTGTTTGTAGCAGAGTGCGCACTTATTCCTTCACTTAATCTACTAGCCCGTGTATTTCAGTAGCAGAGGTAAATAACAGCTTTACAGAAGACAGGTACAAGAGCCACCTCTCAACTGCTGACTGGTGGCAGCAAGTCCTAGCTGGAGGCTAGGATGTTAAATTCAGATTGAACTTTAGGGTCTTTGCCTTAAATGTACTGTCAGTGTGTGGTTAGCTAGTCTACCTTACCTCAACATGATAGCTGAATAGGTTTTGCATTGAGAATGGTGAATGCAAGTATAATGCATCTTACTTTACCCCACCAGTGTCAAACCCACTGCTTTCTTACCTGTTCTCAAATAAACTAGAGTTAATGTAACAAGATGTTGGTTTTAGGTTTAAATGCTTGCATCATGTTATTAGGACAGTGTCTTTCCAAGTAGCTTAGTGAAGCAAAGTATGTGATCTTGAAAACAGCTTGGTTAAAGTCTACCTCAATCATGTGCAAATACTACATGTTTTGACTGTTGTAGATATTCCCACCATGAAGGTAGGCTATAAGTAGTGCCTGTAATTGGAGTTATTGCAGCAATCTGCTGAGAGCAATTGCATAGAGAACCACTGTAAAATTGAAATGTAAAAGGACACTAATATGCTCACTCTAGGAAGTAATTAAGAGCCTGCAAGTTCTTGTACCAGTTTTATTCTTTAGCAAAAAGCGGTCTAGATTTTGAAGTGTGTGCGTGATTAAGAATGAGATGACAAGCTTGTTTGAGGACATGATTGGGCACAAGTACTGTAATCTCATTTAGTACTAGCTATTTAAGAGCCAAAACACTACAAAAATATATTCCTGGTTAAATCCTATGTAAATGTATCCCATAAGCACTATGTTGTAAAGCTGTGTACAGTGTAGTGAAGTGAAGTGCCACCCCTCACCCCATCAGGGGTATATTTAAATAATTGATTTGTATGTCAAAGGTTGAAGGAAATCCCCATCTGACCTGCTCTCTCACAAGGAACTTGAGCAAGTGCTGCTTTGTTTTAAAGAGCTGCCACCACATTTCTAGTTTCATTATACTTTGTAGTCAAAAGTTCAGAGACCTTGATTCAGCCTCAAATGCCCAAATAATGTAGCACTGATATGTAGGAATTTTAATATTCAGCCCTTTAGAAAGCTGAGTACTGAGTACAATAGACAAGTAGGTCCTATTCTTCAGCAAAACTTGGGTTAAGAACTTTGCCCTGGAGGCCAAATGGTAGCTTGAAATAGTCAGATTGTTTAAACTTGATAAAGGAGAATCAAATTAATTTAACTTTATTAAAAGGTATGTTAAAAATCTTCAAGTCCTAGTTACTGACATTTACAGCCCTAGTACTATGCTTTGACATTGTAAACCAGACGGACAACATTTTACAGAACAACCAGCCACCACCTTCTGGTTGTGGCAATTCCCCAACATACCCCTAACAGTATCTTAGCCAGATATAAAAGCTGCTTTGATATTTAATAGTTAAAGTCTTATAAGAAATAGCTTTTGCTATACTGAAAAGAAGCCATTTGAAGTCTGGATTTCAGTCGTTCTGCTTCCAGCTCTCGGAAGAAGGAGTCATCGTCATTTTGAGTTATCAGCGTCTGCAGCTGCTGTATTTCCTTTTCCATCTTTGATCTTAACTCCCTTTTTGTTTTGTGCAGTGTCTTGAAAAGAATACTGAGGTTTACTAAAACAACTCTGAACAAGAAATCACTTGCATACTGGAACACAGCTGCCAACTTTCACGTGGTAAATAAGCACCCCAACTTTTACAATAAACCAAAAATCAAGCTAATCCCATTTCAAAACAAGCCAATCCTTAAGAATCCCAATACTGACTAGATCTCCCCCCCCCCCCGGGTGTGCAGTCTGGGACTGTGGTGGTCCCGCTGTGCACCCTTGTCTTTCTCTCCCCCCCTTACCGGGAGCTGATTTAAAAAAAAAAGGCAACTCACAAGCCAATTAAGCCAAAAACAAGCCCAATTTCTGCATTTTTTCCATGGGTTTGGTATACACCTACTTTTGCTTGTGCTTTCTCTCTGGCTTGGATTTCTTGACGTTCTTGTGATACAGCTTCTGCCAGCATTGAAAACTGAGTACAATAAACATTGAATTAGAACTCATTAAGATATGAAAGATTTACCAATTTAAGATTGAAAACTGGATCGATTGTCTTGGATGCAGTCAAATAAGCCTACCTGATCCTTGTAGTAGTTCTCCATGGACTCCAGTTCATTCTGGTGTACTCTTCTTTGCTCAGCACGCTTTTCTTTACTATACATTCTCAGCTCTTGCAGCCTTTGCTTCTGAATTTCTAAGCCTTCTTCAAATAGATTCTTAAATATCTGCCAACAATTAAGGTGTTAATGTATAACCGAAGGAAAAAACCCTTCTGCTGGTGTAGGGTACATCAACCCTATGGGGTTAAGTATAATGTAGACCCAGTTTGCACATGTAAGCCACAGAACTTTAGGAAGTGATCTTTGAAGTTACAAGAACCCCCTCGATTCTACTTTAGCTAGTGTCCCACCTTGCCTACAAGCCCGTCTAAAAATCTTCTCAACATGGGAGAGGAAGTTCTATTCTAAAGAGAACTAAATTGCATTGAGAGGTTCCATGTTTGTCTCAATTGCATATAAAGTTTGCTGTTTACACAGAACAAAGATGGCCTCACTGCACCTTGAGGCACAGTTCTCTCCTTCCATCACCACTAATCAGAGGGCAGAATCTGTTACACCTCTAAACATCACTGTGCTCATCCGGGTAAAAGGTATAACTGATGGCAGCATTTGCCCCCACTGTTGCAATGAGTTGATGCAGGAGTAGGAATAGAATTCAGCTTGTTCTCCCATAGCTATTGAATGAGTAAATGAGATTAATGTTTAAAAACCCACTTCATTTAACAGGATCTAATTGGTTGAGTGAGGTGGTGTCATTTTTAATCACTTTTCAGAAGGAAAGTTGAGGTGGCCTTTAAAGTTCCCTCTAAGCTGCGTGGCCACCCGGCAGTCTATGAAGTGCTGTGGACTTCAGGTGCCCCTCCCCCTACTGCTAGGCTGCTCCTGGGAGCCTCCTGCTTGCTGTGCAGAGCTGGGGAGGGGGGCTGATGTCAGGGCTTAGGAGTGAGACCTCAGATGGCGCTTCCTGGCAGCTGCTACTGTGTCTGAACAAAACAGGCTTCAGGTTGATGAGTGCCGATCTACTTAAAGGGGCAGTGCGTGTCTCGGTGTGTGGGTGTCTCTCTCTCACTCACCTCCCAACACCTACTCATTGTAGTGTTGTTACTTCCTGCAATGCACATATATTCTCTGCAATTTTATTCTTTCAAAGTGCTGTTTTAGTTTGACTGGTCTATGTATTTCATAATTTTTCTCTTACGCTTAAATTTGATTCTGTGAGTAGTGAGTTCTAAAATGCCTAACCTGTCCTGGCTGGAGTAATTATCCCTATGGTAACTTTTTAAAAATCTATATCTAGTTTTTTTTGTTTCTCCTGGTGATGCACATCCGCACATTACCTCGATATGGGTGCGTATAACAAAATTCATTCTGCACGTGGATGGAAAAAATTAGAGGGAACATTGGTGGCCTTACTTTTGATACTAATAGAAACATTCTCTAAACTCAGCTTTATGATCTCATTGCGAAGAGAACTCCTCTCCCCAGATAGTTCCCTCTGATGTCGTCCCCCCCCGCCCCCACTCCCACACTCACCTTTACTAAGCCTAGTAGCTTCCTTTGTTGCCTGACAGTGAAAGTTAACTCCAGCTTTTGTTTAGATGGGAGGTGGCTACTCTACTGTGTGTGTGTGGCAGAACACAGAGAACAATAATTTCATATAGGACCTAGCTCACCAGCAGGTATGGTCGTACACCTGCCTTCTGCTAAGAAGAGTAGACGTGGAAATTTACAAGCTCTTGGCTCAAGGATGGTTGCTGCCAGAAAAACTATCAGAGCCAGAGTTAGAAAGCAGGAGCTAGGAGCTCCAAGGCCTATGCTGTTTAGTTTAGTTGGCCTCGAACTCTTTGTACCAACACTTTACTATGTGGTGTGTATTTATACTTGTGAGGAAGCAAAGGGGGAAAGATGCTCATTCAATACTGGAGTCTTTCCCCTAGTAGAACAAGAATGCCACACTTACAGAAGAAAGCAACCTCACATACCCTTTCTTCCCGTGTCCTAGCCCGCATCATTTTGGCACGCAGCTGAACGCGGTAATCTTCATAGTACTTTTTGGCTCGAGCAATTTGCTGACGTTTCTCTCTCATTTTATTCTGAGCAAACTTCTGCCGGTATATGCGTTGCTTAAACTCTTGCTAAATAAAGAAAGATCATCAAGTATCAGACCACCAGCACTTCCTGGAGAGGGAGAGTCAAGGCAGAGTTGTATGGCAAACTTTACTAAATAAATCAATAGTAAGGAAATTCTCCCCCACTCTACTACCCTGCACTACATTTAGGAGTAGACCACTGTAGTGTGGTGCTATCCACAGTGCTGTATAATTAAGGAATCAGCACTTTTATGGTAAACTAGTGTTTCAAGGATTAAACTTACTCATGGAGAGACTGAGGTCTGTTCCTCTGTCTCCCATATTCTCAGGATTTGTTCCCTCTTAATGCACCAAGCTGCTTCTTTAAATAGTGAAACATAAGCATGTTTAGCAACCCCATTCTCATTCTAAGACCTCAGTGGCCACATACAGCAAACAGACTAGGTAAAATCTTCAATACCATAGCTGCTCAGGAGTCAATAGGGGGCTGCTTCCATGGACCAACAGCTGTAGGATCATTTTGGCTCTATCACCATGTAAGTGTCATATGCTTTGTGTATCCTCTTTGGAAGAACATACCAGTCTCTTGTGATGGTCTTGATCTTTCTTTATGATGTCAACAAGGAGGTCATGCTTCTTCAGTGCTTCTTCCACCTTGAGATAAGAAAGATGATAGGCAATTGCTTTAATAAATTCTGCAGGATAGGCACTCAGTGATGGGACTTTTAACAGAGGAGCAATACTTCAGTGTACTCTGCCCCAAGTGGTTAAGAGAAAGGAAAGAGAAAAGATTCATTTAGCATTGGTGAATTAACCATTCAACGAGTTAACAAATTCTGCATGCCAAGAACAGCTCTTAAACTACAGGGTTTTGTATGTAATAGCACTTTTAGAGAAATTCAAAATGCTTTACAAAGGTGAAAAAAATATTCCCATCTTTATTGTAGAGAAAGTAGTATAGAAGGTTAAATGCAAGTGAATGGCTAAGATCAGGAACTGAACCCAAGTGTCCTTCTACTTTAACTATTCAAGAGTGCCTCCTTATTCTACAGAGTAGCTCTTCCTTAGACAGCCACCTCTGTTGGAGACCAAGTGAGTGCTAGTTTGACTCAAATGTATGCCATATATTTGTACAATAAAGACCATGGGAAAACCTATTCAAGTACTGCAAGATAAAAGAGCTGGGATAGAGAATCTGTGGAGTTTGCATCTGCAGTAATATAAGCAATGGGCTTTCCCCCACATACTTATCACATGACAGTGAATCTGCTCCGCTTTTAAGCCAGGGAGCTGGGATCCTCACAGGCCTGGTGCTTAGAGAACCAGGCCCAAATTACTCCAGACGACTTAAAGTTGTCTCCATTTTAAAGAAAAGCAGACTTCAGATTCCATTCAGGTTCTAAGATAACATACAAACTAGGCCCCAGGTTATGCCTACACAGTATCTATGCAATTGGTTGGGTTTTATTGCTTAGTGCAGTCATCTGGTGGCCAGTACTATTGTGTAGCTGCATTGCCCCCGGTCAAGCCTAAGAGGCTGTGTTCATACTGCACAAGAGAGGGTCTCACTTCACTTTGGAGTTTCAGTCTTGATCTGTCTTTGCCAGAAGCAGACTTCAGTTGTTCCATCTGTGCAAGCTGCTGTTGCCACATTTTGTTCATAGAGTGGTGGGAAATATGCAAGTATGGAAACTCTTCCAGTAGCAGAGGCAGAAGGTCATTGTCCTTTACTTTCACTGCAAGATAAAAAGCAGATTAATCAATACGCTCCTAGAGAGCAAGTTTAGCAGTAGTTAAGTCCAAGATATGCAAACACTTGAGACTGAACACCTGGCCTGTTTAATATGCTCTGTTACCATGATGTAGCATTGTCTCTCTTTAGGATGTATTGCAGTCTGTCTTCACAACATCCCCAAGCCAACCTGCTTAGCTTCTTTTCAAGCAGCATAGAACCCTACAGTGATTTCCTTGCTCCTGTCAATCTCACTAGCTGCATGCGGTTATTTAAAATAAGCCCAACAGTTGTACTGGTGATGGTACTATATTTTGTAAATGAAGCAAATCATTGTCTGGATCCTCCTCTCATTCCCTGGAAATACTGCATTGAGGTAGTAGGCCCCAGGACAGGAGCAACAGAGGTAATGTTCTAATTAGGGATTGATTTAAGAGTCAGTTCTTTCACATTTCAGCTTTCACAGGTTGATCTGAATATGAGATGAAATCATTGGGCACTTATTAATTATACTATTAATGGAAAGAGTGCCTTTCAACCATGCTGAAACCAAGGCAGTGTAGCAGGGTGCAATTCAGGCTGTGGATTTATATAATGAATGCACAGCATGCAGCTGCTAAAAATGTGGCTTGCACTCTGAGTACTCCCTGTGCTTCCATTGCAACTTGTTCAGCATACTGAACAATGGATAATGGATGGGTCACAGTTTGAGCTGTGCATCAATGGTTTGTGTCTATTTCAAAGCATTATCTTCCATTACAAAAATCCAGACATCTGGAGGTCATAAGGGGGGAAAAATGCTACAGCTGACTGGTATATGTTGGCCAGATGCCTTTATTCTTGGAGTTCACCAGATGCTTTCACAGGATGCCAGTTTTCCACCAAGTAGAGTTTTGTGGTTCTTACTCGGAGTTGCTTTCTTTGGCTTTGCAAACCCTCCTCTTGGAATCCACTGGCTCTGTTTGGGAATCCGAGGTGTGGTTTTTCTAGAATAAACTTTCACTGGCCGAGGCATTTTTGGAGGTTCTTTAAAGATGTTTTCTTGGTATTCTTGTTCCTTAGGATGTAAAACAGATGGAGAACAGGTATGGGAGGGGAAGAGTGGTAATTCATATGGCTTGAATATCAGAACTGAAGTAGCTTTTGAGTCTCTAGGAAGGCAGTTTGCACACAGTGAGACAGATCCCTCACAGTAGGGCCAAAAATTCACCAAATGCAGGTCAGAGGATGGTGTGCAATAGAGGTGTCAAGCTCTCCTTTGCATAACCCTAATTCTGGGGTGCTCTATGCATGGCTGCAATGGCCCCCTGGGCTGAAAATACAGCTCAGATTCGCATAGCATACAGGCATTCCAGTCATGCTCCCTTTTCTTGCTACACACCAGCAGCACAGAAGAGTGGTGAGAACCCACATCAGCTCCATGCTACTCACTCACCCCTGCAGTGATCATTAGCTTTCTGGTTTAGTATTTTTTTATCTAGTTTTATCACCCCATTACGCTGGCAGTGCAATGCAAAGTGACTGCACTGCAGGATCAGACATATCTAAGAAGCTCATAGCAAGAGCTACATAAAGGCAAACAATGTAGTTAGGGTACAAGCTGTAAGTGCCAATCTGACAGCTCTCAAATTCTAATGGCAAAGAAGGTAAAAAAAACTAATGCTTCCAAAGTTAGGGGGAAAATCAGTTTCCTTATTAGAGTTCTCCTGGTGTCCTCGCACATCCTCACTACTTGTTTCTCTTGAAGCGATTACTTCAGCTATGCAAGGCACTCAGATTGCTTCTGTGGAATTTCCAGTCCACCAAATGGTGTTTAGTTATTAAATCTTATTCTGCAATACGAACTAGCCACCTGCCTACCACGCTGGTTTAAATTCTTCCAGCTGAAGTATCTCACTACAGGACAAACTCAATACACCGCGACCCGATATAACACGGTAAAGCAGTGCTCCGGTGGATCAAAGCAAGTTCAATATGACGTGGTTTCACCTATAATGCGGTAAGATTTTTTTGGCTCCTGAGGACAGCGTTGTATGGAGGTAGAGGTGTACCAGAATCACGGTCCTTGTGCCACCCCTAAGAGATGTTTCTGAAGAATTACTAACTACCTAAACCTCCCCACCTTAGGGTCTATGTGCCCTAAGAAAATTACATACTGCTAACCATATCCCCAAAGTAGTGTAGCTGAACAAAGCTGTTTACAGCATCTATTATACTAGTATTTAAGCCAGGGTCAGCATTGGGTCATGTCATTTAAAAGCATCATCCATGTAGCCTGGATAGCAGGCATGGACTGAGTAACTTTTAGATATTTTTTAAACAAAACACCATCTAATTTATTCTAGTAAGCTTCACCTACCGTTTCCCTGGCTTTTGCTTTTAGCTTGGAGAGGCCCAGTTTCTCTCTAGCTTCAAAAATTCTTAATTCCTCTTCATAGGCTTTAGTCATCATCTAGAAAACGAAATAAGACACTCATTCTGAATTTTTACTCTCTGCAAAGGGGATAATCAGTCCAAAGGAAGTCACGTAAATGAAACAAATTAGTGTTGGTGTCAAAAGGGCTTCTTTCACCTCTAGCTCACTAAGAAGCTTTACCCCTTCTTCCCGGACAAGGACCTGGCCACAGTGGTTTATGCATTTATCTCCAGGGTGAATTACTGTAATTCACTCAAGCGGAACGTGAAGCTGCACAAATTCTGTTTAAAACAAAACAAAAACTACAGCCCTTGTTATCCATGGACTAGGTCACTGTGAGAACAGACTGGTGCTCAAGTTCCTCTACTGGCTCCTTTAAAACAATTTATGGATCAGGCCCCAGCCTCATTAAAAACTGGATTTTTGACCTAAGCATTGTCAAGACAGTTGCATTCCTCTGGGACAAAGCAGGTCACAAAGCTAAGAATAAAGAGAGCTGTGGACAAAGCATTCTCCATCATGAGGATTCACATATGGAACAAACTTCCAGGAGATTAGGTAACTTTAGAATCAAACAGGCTTTAGGAAATACAAAACTTTGATCTACAAAAAATACTTTCCACCATAATAATGACACTCAAAAAACCTTAAATAAACCAATCAACTAAAAGATTACCATACCCCAAAAAAGATAAGCTAGAGACTTCATGAAATTCTCTAGGAACTGTGCATTTTCAATGTAAAATTAATAGGCTGATGGGTGGCCATATAAAACCGTACAATGTGTCCTATGCACAGCCATCAGCATTAGAGTGCAAGGTCAATTCTATTAGCTACAGCTAATGGTCATGCAATAGCATCACTGGTGAAAAGGAGGTTTGCCAAATATAAAGTTGCTTCTGTTGTAAATATTCATGATGTTCGGCGAACTGTCCCACACAAAACTTCATCTTTGTTTTAAGCTATATTTTGAGGTCGTTCAATAACTGTTTTTGTAATGTAGAAAAAGCATGAAAGGATTAAGCTCTTCTCCAGCTAGGCATCTATATACTGTGCTCATTGGGGTAGTCAGTATTTTGGGTTGCCTGTGGGGGATATTAATTTTGGGCTCACATTTCTTAAGAATGAGAGTTCTGAACCTACTCCATTACAGGATAAGCTTGGGCCTTTGAGAGGATTAAAGTTCTGCTCACTCATGTGACTTGGCCTCTGTCAAAGATGAGGGATTCTGGGATTTGTAGTTCACCAATCATGAGAACTAGAGGCTGCTAACAAAGCATGCTGGATATAAAAAAGGCCTGCTTTCCTCAATGTGCGGAATGATGGCAGGGTGATGGCAGGAGGTGCTGCGAGCATCTCTGCCAGGGAGGAACAAGGGAAGGACATGAGAGCTGATCTTGCTAAGCAAAGTGGGCTTAAGGGACAAGCCTGGGAAGAAGGCTGCTGAAGAACTGAGCAAAGGACTAGGAGAGCCCTACATTAATTACGAACCCCTGAGAAAAGGGAGAGATGTTCACTCAGACAAAGGACTGTACAGCAGAGAGTTTTTTTCCCCTTTGGGGCTGCTTTTGTTTACCCCAGAAGGGGGAAGTGAGCCTTAACCCACTTCATGCATAGCCAATGCTGGCCAAAAATTTCACGTCGGGGAATCCTAAACGATGGACTGTCAATAGTAAGCAAAATTCAGTCATCCAGGATAATTTAGACAGTTTAATAACACTTCCCAAGGTATTGGGCTGAACATCAAGCCTCAAGCAATTTTAGCAAGTTCATTTTGGCTATTGTGGTACACCATAATTGACATCTTAGAACTATGGTGTCAGTTAGCAGCAAATGGACAGCAAAGATCCTTTGGTTCCCAGTTTTCCCTATTCTGCATATAGCTTAAACTGCTGCAAGTATTAAATGCAAGAAGCAGTGCTGTGCAGGTGCTGAGTTAATGCCTGAATCTTTGCTACACCCAGCCTCTTAGTAGGACAACTGTAAAGTGGAAATAAAATTCCCAAAATAGGCCAAATGCCCCCCCTAACCAGGCTGTAGGGGCATTCAGATCTAATGCAACCCAGAAACAGTTACCTTTGCTTTTATTCTTCTCTGGTCCATTTCCTTTTGCAATTGCCTGCGCACTTTCCCCATCTGGCCTCTGGCATCTCTCTGAAGTGTATCTTCAAACTCAGAGTGAAGTAGATACCTGGATGAGGGTGGGGATGGAGAAAGGGACCGTGGTCTGCTAAGAAGTCTTTTTGGATGTGGAGTGGCTGTGAAATAAAGATGTGAATGCTGTTATAGCTAGTATCAGAAACTATAAGGATGAATAGACTTAAATCCAGAAGGGTGCCAAATGTTCAATAGTTAAACAGGGAACACTCTACAAAGAAAGTAATTTTTAAAAACAAATACCCTTATTTTAAAGTCCTCCCTGTCCCAAGCCTCCAGTTCTTCCTGGCTCGTACCATAATTATGTATTTAGCAAATCAAAAGTGCCAGAAGATATCACAATGGGGCCAAGAAAGAGGCAGCAAAAATGTATTTTAAGAAGGTTCAAAGTTAGGGCCTGCTATACAAGTTTACAATGTCAGAGCCATGTTATAACATGGTTTGGTCTTGCATCTGTAGACTGTACCAAGTCATAAAACAGTGTTACAACCCTTGTCAGTGTACGTTATTGTTACATAACATGATTATCACAAGTTCAACAACAAGGGATGTAACGCTGTTATATATTAGAACTGGACGGCTATAGTGTGTTATAACAAGGTAACAGGCCCATTTTTCAGTATTCCCCTCCCTCACAGTATGGTCAATAGTAGCATTCTGAACTTTGCTCATTTGTCACTCTGTACTTCACTTTTCATTTCTAGTGAAGCTTTCATAGCTGTTTAGGTATTATGTTTAGTTAACACTTTACTAACAGGATTTTATATCTTTGGGCATGTCACCCAATGATATAATTCTAGGGCTGCAGGTAGGCTTCTGAATCTCTATGAAATTATCTATAGAAGAGTTGTGTTCTACTTTCAACTTTAAGTGAGAAGGAAAGCTTTACTTTTAACAAGGTTGTACTTCACCCAGTGCTTAAACAGTCACACTCTGGATTGTTACCTGCGTGAGGTTTCCTTCCCCGATAATCCATGACACTGTCACTGTGCTGAGACAGTTTATCTTCATCTGTCAACATCTCTTCCCTGGGATGCTCCCCCAAAGCTCTCTTTAACATCTAATGATTAGAGATTCTTCTGGTCAGTTTCATTAGTTCATCCTAATAAAGTCTAGAATTGTTTAACAAAATTAGAGGCACCAATTACAGATTTCCTTTCAGTTCTATTATACATTGAACTCACCTTCTGCATTTCACTGGGAATTTAATGGAAACATGTTGAAGAAATATCAAGCTAAGCAAAAGACATATTACTATTGATTAAACAGTGGTACAAGAATTCCAGAATGTCAATATAAACTAAATTACATTATTGTGTAATATCCAGCCATGAGTAATCCTAGTATTTCTCCTAAACCAAGTAATAGTATTTTATAAAGTGACTATTAATGCATATTTTGCACTATGTCACCAACACGTCTCTCATCCAAGATGAAATAACTCATTTTCTTTAAGATTATTTCTCTATCCATTCTTTTACATAAAAGCACCTAAACTGTATTTAAAGTCCCTTTAGAAATTAATGTATTGTTAATCCTACCAAGATTGACCTGATTCCCTAGATTTTAGGTAGGCTTCACACTTGTTACAAATGCTGGATAAATTCCAAAATATTATCAAGAATGGATTCCCACTTACTAAATCTAGTTCATTTAACCTGTGAGAGAGTTTTTCTGACATTTCATGCAGCTCTTGCTCAGATAATTTATCCTTTGCCTTTCTGCAGGAAAGGGGCTCCTCTTCAAATGAATCTGTGATAAAATGTTCATATCTGCTAAAAAAGAAAGGTTTTAGTTTAAAAAAAAAAAAAAAAAAAAACCTAGCACCCATACCACTAAGGTTTCATTTTTGTCCCAACAAAGATTTATGGTCAAAGGTTACCATTCCTTAACAGATCCAGAACTCAGTTCACTTTTTTGTTTGAAATGGGATTAGGAAATTATATAGAAACTGATCTTGTGGGACAGAATTCACCTAAGCATTTATAGCAGTATTGCCCCTAGTTGTACAGTGAGTGTTTGTAAGAATCAGATGTTCCAGCCTACGCTGGCTGCTCAAGCCTTTTTAGGAGTATTTGGAACATTTCCCCCCTAAATGAATACCAAGAACTGATTCCTACAAAATATTGTATTTTTATCTGGGTCTTAGAAATGGGTTTCTCTGTATGAAGAAAGATCTGAATTAAAAGGCCATTGTTAAAGGGACTAAAGCTATTCTGCACATCTCACTCCGCCGCTAGCGCCAACCAGCTTTGGTTGTTACCTCGGCTGGATTCTGAGCAGCAGCCAAGAAGTGAAAGCCCCGTATAAGGAAGTGAGCACGGAAACCCTCAGCTTCTCACTCAGTATAAAAAACCGGACTTACCTTTTCCCACTAGGCCGACTTCCTGTTTCAGGGTTTGTGATTCGTGCTACTGATATTACCTGGTCCGTGCCTGATAAGATGTCTTGGGGTAAGCAGGTAGTTGATGTACGTGAGGCAGCCACATCAAAAGCCTGTTAGAGAAGGGAGGGGACAAGCTCAAATTCATTATGAACTTTTAGTGAAAGGCTTAAAGACTCCATAGGCAGCAAAGTTCTGGCATGGAGAGGACGACCTACGAGAGTCTGTATGAATACACATCTCAAATCATAAGATTAGATCTTAGAGTTCAACTACCAGCCTCCTTCTCAGGAAAAGGGTGTGGAGTGTCAATGTTAAGTCAAAAAGGCAGTTAAGTCTAAAAAAACTGAAATAATGGGAGACGTCAAGTACCCACATAATCTGGTCAAGTGTCACCATGGGACAAGAGCTAGAGAAGTGATTTCTTGACATCTGAAATATTTATTTCTTGGAACAGCTAATTCCAAAGCACATAAAGAAGCTATTCACTTAATCCTGAATAACACAAAAGTTTTTCCACAATTAACCATTGAGATCACAACAGAACTAACTCAGGGCTCAGCTTGAGTAGGTATATAGATTCAGAGACATACCATTATGCCATACTGCTATCTTATCATCAAGAACTTCAGCCCCTATTTAAAAAGGAAGGCCTGACCTACAACTTCGTACTGGTTTAACCAACAGTGTTGTTTATACCAATCTTGGTAAACTGGTGAAAGTGTCACTAGTGTTTAAACCTGGCTTACAGCGGTTTAGCTTGTGTCGATAAATTTACAGGTGCAATCTAAACCAATATAACCATTTTTAAACAGATAGAAATTTAGGACTTGTCTATGCATAGTAGTTGCACCAAATTAAGTTAATTAGTTTAGTTAGAAGTCCCCACACAAGTTGGACTCTTATCTCTTAGGGTTGCAAATAATCTCAAATGTGAACATAAGGCATCTAATGGTGAGATTTCTACTAAGCCTCAAACATTAGCTGAGAGCTGTAAACTTCCCCATTCATCTCTGCAACTTCTAAAGATCACTGGATCTCTGAGTTAAATGTCAACATAATTACCTAGTTCTTTCCTAACAAACAGAAGAGAGGGATCTCGCAGCTGCAGCGTTCACTGAGAGTGAGGTCTTTTTTTGATGCCCCCAGTGAATGGTATTTGGGAGAGGACCACCATTTATTCCCTCTCCTGACACAATTAAGGAGGCTTGCAGAGCCCACAAACATATTCCAGCTCAAAATATCCAGCAAGCCTCTGAGCTGCAATCATATTTTGAGCACATTTAAGAAAGAGTTTCAGTTTATTAGAAAGTTTGAGACATGAAAAATCACCATGATGGGTCTCATCTTTAAATCAGTGGGAGATAACATGTCCATATTACTACTACATCTACCTCTTGTCTATATCCTCTAGGTGGCAAGTAGTTGCATCACTTACCACTAATCAGACTAGTCCAGGGCATACAACATCTTACGGCAAATAGTCTGTAGACTAACAGCCTGGCACAAGATCTTTTCCACTTATAAAGGGGGGAAAAAATCTGATTGGCTGTCAATGTTGAGTGCACTGTTTAGCATGTCTTTAAGTTCATTAACATCTCCTTTTGCTCAGCCACAACAACATGAAGGGAAGAGTTATAGACTGCTTTGGGAAGAGTCCAGAGACTAAGTTTATGTCTATGACAGCTGACTTGGGCTTGCAGGGCTTGGGCTAAGGGGCTGTTTAATTGTGGTGTAGATGTCCGAGCTCTGGGACCCTCCCACCTCTACACTGCAATTAAACAGCCCCTTAACCTGCACCCCATAAGCCCAAATCAATGGGCATGGGCCAGCTATAGGTTTTTAATTGCAATGTAAAACATACCCACAGTCCTGCAAGTAACCCTGGTCGTAGCAGAGGGTAAAGACTAGAACTGCAATGTTAAGTCGGCTGATCTGGTTATAGTAAGACTTAAAACGAAGGGTTGTTGGTTAAGTTACAAGTGAAATCCACTATATTCTGAAAGTCCTATTCACCTCCCATCAAAGCTTATCTTCTCAGGTTGCCAAGTAGTAGGTCAGCCTCTCAATATCTTCAATCACCCAAGAAGTGCTTTGTGGAACAAGTAAACATCTCCTGCTCAGCTAGTTTCCTATAAGGACCTGTTCCCTGCAGGCCCTTTGAGTGGAATGAAATCTGCTAACCACTTTGTGGGTTCTGAATTATCCAGTTGTTCCAAAGGGCAAATGCAAGGACAAAAAGGACAGGGAAGTAATCTGGCCGAGTCACTGACTGATCTTTAGACTGAGGCAAATCCTCTGTTGAAATCCAGGCAAGTCTCATTTTTCTGGAGATACCTGACTCTAGGCTGTCACCAATATCGTAAGATACTAGGCAAGGAAGAGGTTAAAATATTCTTCCTAAACATCCTTAGATAAATCCAACTGATATGTAATAACTGGGTGCTTTTGCTGAACTGGTCAGCAATGTAAATGCAAGTGTTTACATCATCAGTTAGTGCTAACATCCCATTGAGATATGACTAGCGTAGTTTACAATCTGCCTGTAGACACACCAAGTCAACACTGCATCAGGTCACATTCGCAAGGTTTTTAAAAGAAAAGCAGCAACAAGTTTAAGAGGAAAGCTTCATTTCTGCAAGGCGGTAGGAATACCAAAAATCCCCTGCACAACTGTGGGGAAATTCCATGTATGCAGGTTTACAGCAACCCTGCCTAAAACATATATGGATTTTACAAATAGTAGAAAGTCATGGTTACCTTAGCCACATCATCTGTGCCATTTGGCTCCTCTTTTGACACCACCTTATCTCCAACTGGAAAAACTGGCAATAGAAACAGCTGTATTTACTGGATTATTTATTCTCTACACATCATCAAAGTGTGTTTAGTGATTTACAGAACAAATACAAAAGGCATGGATCCTGGCTCAAAGAGCTTACAAACTATTTGTCAAAAGAAGTGTAAAACCACAGGGGAAGGAAGACAGTAATTAGGTGTGTGGCTATTCAGTTATGGCCTGTGCACACTTTTTTTTTTTAATTTAAGGAGAATTTCTTGTAGGCTTTGAATTTTCAGGAGTGTCATTTGAGAGGGTGATGCAATGGAACTGGAAAAGTAGCCAGGGTCTCCAAGGCAACAGAGAAGTTAGAAAATAAGCACTTAAAACTAAGTCTTGTCTATACTAGGAGGGTTTAACTATGCTTTCTGGAACGGATTAACATAGTTTGTCTTAGTCTACATTCATAGCTAGTTTATTCTGCACCAGTTCAGCTCCACCTTTTTCAATGAGTTTCTGCAAAACAGACAAAGCTGAGATGGATTAATTGGAGGGAAAAAAAAACAGTTGAGCAATGGACACACTTTACTTCTTAGCACAATAAATCCCCTTTGACTATGACCTATTTTCACTGCCCTTGCAGACATTGTGACAGAAGTGATTTGCTCACATCTGTTAGGAAATTTGAATTTAGTAAGGTTTGAACAGCAAAACACAGATTAAGGTTTTCAAAACCATGTTTCCCTCGATGCCAATAAGATGAATTCAAAGTAACAAGCACCAATATTTAACACTGCATTAGAACACAGTTTAATATGAAGCACAACTTGTTCTCACCAGAGGCGAGTCTTGACAGAGGAACCCTATCAGAAGTAGCTGACTCCTGTCTAAGTGGTTCTGCAAACTGCAAAGAGAAGTAAAAATGCATATTAAATTAATAATTCACTATTCTTCCTGCTGAACAGGAATGTTTTGACAAGGCCATAGATTAATAATCCATTCGGAGATACAGTTCAGATAGAGATCTCATTAATTCCATTCTACAAATGCAATAGAGAAAAGCTGAAGATATTTACTAATAAAACCAAGAAAGAGGTTTTCACTTACAATAGAAGCTTCAAGTCCATGATTGTTAGCCAAACCTGGGGACTGTCTGGCTGGGCTTTGGTATTCCCTTCCCATTGAATAATGAGGCCTGGGTTCAGGAGGCTGATATGGTGGTTGCAAAGGAATAGCTGGGCGTATGGGCTCCCCAAGCTTCTTAGCACTGGAACTCAAACTCTCTTTGAGAAATTCATTGGAATTAACAGACTTCATTGATCCTTAAAGACAAATATGAAAAAATGTATAGGCACAGTTAATCCCTTTAACAAAAATGTCAGCTGGACACTTTCAGTCAGCTTCATCTTTGAATAAACATGTTAATCATTCTAGAGTTTAATACACAGACATTGACAGTAGCTTCCATCTTTGCTGCATGCTGCAGAATTTGGATTTTGGGTGTGTGGAACTAATTAGAGAGAAGAATTGATTTGATAATTTAGCATTAAGTTAGTAAAACAGTCATATGAACATCTGAGTTTTCTGATTTATCAGGTGTCAGACCATTCAGATTTCCTCCAAAACTGAAATAAGGAAGAAAGGTGAAGAACTACTTATATAAGTAACTCTAGTTAAAGAAATAAGAGGCCTTCTTTTGTCAGCTACTGTATTTCTAGTCTCAAATCCATGGCTGTGAGGATTACTGCCAACAGAACTAGGAAGACTAAAGAATTTTTAAGGTATTTCTCAGAAAGTGAGAATTTCACTCACCTTCCCTCTCTTTTACAAGTGCTCTTCTGAAGCTGAAAAGCTGACTAGATGATGCCACAAGTTGACAGGATGCCACAGTAGCCTCAGAGTCTTCAGGTTCCTTGATCTCCTTAGACCTCTCTCTCTCTGCCGGCAACAATTCAGGGAGCTGGAACTCTGGAAGTGGTGTTTGAAAGCAGGTTAAACTTACGTTTAAATAATTAAATGCATTTTTACTATTGGCTCTGTGTTTAGACAGTGCTCATATTGGACTGAATTAGTAACTAGCAGTTAATGCTCTTCACTCCTGTGGGGATAGCACAACTTTGTAGGTGGAATTTGTAACACTTCAAGGAATTGTATTTATACATCACAGTATGCGACAAAAGTTTTATTCACAGATTTGCTCAGCTACCATTGTAGGGGCAAGATAGGTCAGCCTCAGTACCCATTCAGTCCTTCACTTTGCAAAGGAAATTGTCGACAAAAATGCTATTGGTGTTCAGAGTGAGCCCAATTTAAGTGGTTCCTATTACCAATTCCCTGAGCCATCTGGTTCCCTTAAAGAATGTTTCAGAATTGCCCAGACTCCTACCAACTGTTTGCTATAAGTAAGCTTAAATAATAATTCATTGCTAGGTTTACATATTGTGTCTTGAAGCAACATTGTTACAACTATTTTACATTTCATACTGTGATTGTCTGAGGCCATCCAGTTATGCTTTCATGTCCTTCTGAACTGGGTCTAATTCACACAATTTTACTATGTAGTCCTTTTTTAGGCAAAAAACAAAACCCTTCAACCAGAAGGGATAGATAATGGTCAACTCTAAATCAGGTCTGAAACCCTTAAACTCTAGGGAATCAGATGTTTCCATCTCAGCAGGATCCCTTATCTTGACATAAGTACACTGGGTACTTCTGTCTGTGGGTCTGTGAAATAAGAATTATAATATAAGAGGGTCCATCTGCTATTGGCAAATATTCAAAATCCACTGGTGTTACTTGTAAGAGTAAAGATTTGTCCTGTTCTCTTGACCTAAGTTTTCTCCAACCTACAGTTATGCAGCATACTTTATGCCAGTTGACTTTCCCTATCTGCCCCAGAGGTGGCTTCATCTCAGTTGTACTAACCATATATAAGCTGAAGCATTTAGGGAACCTTCAAAACAAAAGGAGCTAAGCTTTTTGCTTTACAAGCATGCTCCCAGTCCTTTCATACATTTAAAAATACTAAGCACTTTTGACAGTGTATGTTTGATTGCTAGAAGAGTACATGTCCATATAGAACAGTCTTAAAGGTATATTTTAAACTCACCTTCCTTTCTTAGAGAAAATGAATGAGCAGTGTCCCCAAGCCTGATTAATTCGCTAGTAGATTCTGATCCTTCTACCTCCCAAGATGGGACAAAAATATCTGACTGGGAAGACCTAAGAGGAACACAACGCAGAAGATCTATTAGCAATAACATTCTTTGCTTGCCTAGGCCACAAGATGGAGCTGCAGAAGAATCCTAACTCTACATCTTCAGTTATCTGGCCTTTAATTTTTAGAAGAGTATGATCAGTTTCCACAGAGTAAGCTAATTTAAAAATATATATATCATGAAAATAAATGTAATACAATTAATTAACTAAGCTTCAGTGATTTAAATCAAAAGCATGCACTGAGACGACAATGGAAGTTTGGAACATAACTCATTACTGTGCAGATTCACCACTAAAGGTGGATTAAAAAATTTAAAACTGCAAGTTGTCTTAGGCTTTGCGGTGCAAACATATACTTGATCCAAATTTTAGATCTCTTGCTGCCCAAAGAAGACCAAGCATTCCATTTGATGCTTGTACTCAGTATGTTTTTTTTTATTTGCATAGCATGAACATGCTAGACACTTTATAGATATGTAAAAATACAGTCACTGTCCCAATGTAACTTTAAAACATTCAGAACCAGTCTTACTCTGCAACTGATGGGAGTTTCAGAGGTGGCACAGGTTCCTCATGGTCACCGTCCAGCTGCTCTTGAAGCGCACTTTGAATTTCATTGTTAGCTAGCTGGTCAGGTTCATCTGTTTATAATCAAAATTGGTTTGTTAATTTCAAGGAAAACCACACATACACAGGATGGGTACTACTGCCAATATCACAACAAATACTTTGACAGAAATGGCAATTTTAGACTTAACATGCTGTCTAAAACTGTCACACTGAACAGGTTTGTATATTTTGGTTTAACAGTACAGTTTATATTAAATATAGCAACTTCCAAATGCACCTTATTCAATAGAAGCTTCAGTGGTAAGTTAGGAGAAAGTTTTAATACCACTTTCACACTGTAATTCATAAAGTTGTTAGGAGATGGTTTCTGCCACAAAAGAGAACCATGTTAAAGGAGCACTATGATTTTTTTTTTAAAGGCTTCACCTTTTATTACCATATTACTGAAACTAAAATATTTTAAATCCAACTTTCTGTTCACCATGACTACTGAAGGAAATGGAACAGTGAGTACACAACTTGGGAAAAGAAAATAGATTAAGTTCCACTTCTGTTTGTGATCAATTTCAATCCCTTGCTTTCGTGCAATGTTTGGATTACAAACATTGCAAGCAAAGTTTTAAATCCCAGCAAAAAACTGCTTAATTGCAAACACTCCTGTTCATCTTAGGTGTTGTAAAAACAAGGGTTTACAAAGTTTGTTTTCCATACATGATTCTAAATGGCTATGGGCTTCCTCAAAAAAACCAATATAGTTGCTAATCAGGGGCACCGCAAAGGAATAAAATTTAATCTAATACTCGGAGCCTATTCCATCCTTAAACATGCAAAGAATGGTGTACATATGAAGGCAGAACTTATGCCTCAGTATGGTAGCTTAATAGTAGCACTCGAGGTATGCAGGCAAGATAAGAAACAGTCCATCATAATAATAAGCAGCAGCACATAATATCTTGAACTGAGAGAGTCTCTAACTTGAACTTGAACTCTTGAACTTTGTTAGTCTCTTTACTCACCCCCATTCTGAGAAGAAGTTTCACTGATTTGTTCTGTAAGATATTCGAGCAGGCCATCAAATATTTCTAACAGATTTCGGATAGATTCTCTCTCTCCTTTCACGATGTTCTCTCCTTAACAGAGGTTACTATGAATTAGTAATTAGAGCTTAGAGAAAAAAAATTTAACTTTAAAAATTTGTTGAAACCTTGGAAAGGCTGTTCAAAGAAATGTATATACTGATATCAACTCAGAAGAAATTTAGCTGGACTTAGATGTTTGGGACACTGTTGGATTTTTATTTCTGTAACATATTTTAAGGTAGGTGGCAAACATCCTGAAATTGTACATTTTCTGTTCCAACAATTGAAAGCCTAACCTCACTATCACATTTTTCATCAGCTCTCATGGAGCATACCAGACATCAAGGTTACAAGCGGCATACTTGTCTAGTGCCGTAGTTTTCAAACTTCTGTACTGGTGACCTCTTTCACATAGCAAGCCTCTTAGTGCAACCCCCATTACACATTAAAAACACTTTTTATACATTTAATACCATTATAAATGCTGGAGGCAAAGTGGGGTTTGAGGTGGAGGCTGACAGCTCGCGACCCCCCATGTAAGAGCCTGGTGACCCCCTGAGGGGTCCCAACCCCCAGTTTGAGAAACCCTGGTCTAGTGAAAGTCACATTAGCAGTTCATCCAGTTTCTACAGGGTAAAATTCCGCTAGAGCAAGCGGTTGAGATCTTTGCCTACACTTTGTAGCTGGTTCAGCAGGTAGTATTATAGTCAATATGAAACTAATGAAGGATTCCTGCCTTCAGTTTGTTGGGGAACTTGGTAAGATTCTCAAACATGCCTGCTACTGCACAAACCAAGCTGGGAAGGCAGGATGTAGGAGTCTTTCAAAAATGTCAGCAATACTCTATAGATATACCTACCAGTCAGCAAGAGATGCTGTTAGGAGGAGAAAGGTTCCATCCTCCCTTTTCAGGGAGTCAATTATTTATATGATACTACTGGTCTTCACTATCCAGAGTAGAAGCCCCTAAAAACTCAAATCTTCAACATATACATACATGCCCAAGCCAGCACAAAACTGATAATCACTGTGTAGGCTCAGATTTCAGAGGACTTAGATACACTCCAGTTATTTACAAAAAGTCACAAGCAATACTGCAATCTCCTTTACAAATGTCAATCTTCAGAGCAAGCCAAATATCCAGGTGGGTGTTAATGTATGATTGGAACCAGAATTTGAACTATTCCCTCAGTATTTCACTGCAGATGTTTGTTAGCACTGTTACTGTTAAGAGATTGACTTGGTTTCTATTTCAAGATACATTGTTCAATAAAAAATATGTAAGTTGGGACTCATTTCAAGTAAGATTAAATGACAGGCTTAAAAATGGAAGGTCTCAAAAAAAAAAAAAACCCACCATCCTGGGATTTCAATTTAGACAATTAAAATATCTAAATAACTATTTCTATTATAAAAATTCACGATGTAACATGAATGTCATAGCAAATATATTAACTACTTTGACAATATCCAATTAAAATCAATTTTAAATTAAATAAAATTGAGACCATATTGGTTATTTATCACTTGAATTACTACAAATATTCATATTTTGAACATACACATCTATCCGTTAGCTAGACAGAGAGTAGCTAAAAAACAAGTCAAGATGAACTATCTGTTCGAGTTCAAGTGTTTACCACCACAATGTGTTTTCCCTCTGTTGCCAAGTATGGTAATTATAACCCCCAGGACACATTCAAGGCTTCTTCTACTGTTTCCAAGGTGAGAAGGGCAAAGACTCTTTCCATATGGCCTGACACCACCAACCACAACATCGTTCCAGCTGAGTGGAAGAGAGTGACTTGACGCAGAAAACAAGATAAAAACTGCTATATATTCCACTAGGAATAATTAGATGTCTGCAGTGTCTTAATCCAACTGGTAACTTCAAGGTAAAAAAACTAATAACCTCAACACTGATTTACTACTTTCCATACTGCAATATAGTACACATGAAATGTAATTAGATGTTTAGTCTAAATTTTTAATTATTTTCTTGTTCTCTAAATTGATGGCCCCAGTTTTCAGACCAAGACTCTATTTTCTGGGCATAACTCATTGCACATGCACAATTTTGCATGCAGATATGGAAACATACTATGAAAGATCAGATCCTTGCTTATAAATAGTAAGTTGAATGTAAAGCCTTGGGTATTTTTCAATCACGCATGTATACCCCTCACTTCTGTTGACCATGACTGTAAGTACTCACCAGTGATGTGAGACAAGCTGACCTGCAAGTAGTCCAATGCCAGAGAATCTATTACTGCTTGCACATTATGTGCATCATCCTCTTGGCTTCTGGGAGAGGCTATGAAATCTACAAAGAAGAAACATTACATCATACTACAGCAGAGGTGGGCAAACTACAACCCGCAGGCCACATCCGGCCCATGGGACCTTCCTGCCGTCCCCCTGAGCTCCTGCCCCGGGAGGCTAGCCCCCGGCCCCTCCCTTGCTTTTCCCCCTCCCCTGTAGCCTCAGCTCACTCTGCCACCGGTACAATGCTCTGGGCGGCAGGGCTGCGACCTCCTGGGGCAACGCAGCTGCAGAGCCGGGGCCCGACTCGGTGCTCTGTGCTGCACAGTGGTGTGGCTGGCTCCAGCCGGGCCACGCAGCTGCCTGTCCTGGTGCTCTGGTCGGTGCGGCTGTAGCGCTGCCAGCCACCAGTGCTCCAGGCAGCGTAGTAAGAGGGCGGGGTGGGGGGTGGGGTTGGAGAGAGGGCAGGGGAGTTCGGGGTGGTGGTCTGGGGTGTGAATGGGGGCAGTCAGGAAGGAGATGGGGGGTTGGATGGGGTGGCGGGGGCAGGCGGGGGCAGGGAGAAGGGGTGGTTGGATGGGGCAGGAGTCAGGAATGAGAGGGGGGCAGTCAGGAATGAGAGGAGGGGTTGGATGGGGTGGCGGGGGGCAGTCAGGGAGAAGGAGTGGTTGGATGGGGCAGTCAGAGGTGGGGATTCTGGGGGCTGACGGGGTTAGATGGGGCAGGAGTCTTAGGGGGCCGTGAGGGGGCGAGAAGCAGGAGGGGTAGGATGGGGGTGGGGCTGGGTCATGCCTGGCTGTGTGGGGAGGCACAGCCTCCACTAACCGGCCCTCCATACAATTTTGCCAATGTGGCACTCAGGCCAAAAGGTTTGCCCGACCCTGTACGACAGCCTACTTGAAGGAGATAATGTCCTGTGTAGGCCCCCAAAATGGCCTAATTGTTTCTAGTTTATTTGCAATGAAGTTAAATGCAAAGATCGTGTAAAGTAAGGGTGGAAAACCCAACTGTCATTTTGTCATAAGAAAACAATTCAATGGTTACTGCATATAAGCACAGAGCATACACTCAAATACATAGACAAAGAAAGAGCCACTGGTTATAATTCACATGCAGCTGTATTTAGTTATGAAACTTAACTTAGAAGATAGAATTGAATAAAGTAGTATTCTTCTCTTACAGCTTTTAGAACAATAGGAAAACGTAAAAACAATTTAAATGTGGAGAGCTGGACTAGAGTTTGTTGTATTTTGTTTAAGGTCTCTCTCTTCTGTACTGTACCTGCAATGGTGTTACATGAACCAGTTTTAAAGCACTTTAAAATTAGTTTGGATTAACAAGCTTCAGGGCATGTCTTCAATAAAATGTTTTTTTAGCCTCAAATTTGATTGCCAGTTAAAGCAGTTAACACCTTTGTAAAAGCTAGTCTGGACATTCCCCAAACATTTGTAGTTTACCCCAGAGTAAACAAAGGTTTACATACAAAATTGCTCAGTGCTGGCCTAGCTCTGCTGCCAATGAAGTCAGTGGGAGTTTTATCATTGATTTGAACAGGTATTTGGCAGAGGTTAAGTGCTTTTGAAAAAAATCACATTCTAGATATGTAATACTAAACATTTGAATATAATAGTATAAGATTCAGCATTACCATTCCATTGAGATGATCTAGACCAGTTCTTACTTTTCAGAGCTATTGTTTTAGCCTATAGACTCTTCAAGGCCTGGTCTACACTAGAAAACGTTCATCAGTAGAGGATGGTTTGCTAGTATAGCTAATGTAACCCCAGATGATACTGAATTTAAAAAAAAAAAAAAAAGTAAGCTTTACCAATATAGATTATACCAGTTCAGCAGCAAGCAAAATAAGCTATACCAGCAAAAGCATTGCGTCTACACTAGGGCTCTTGTTGGCAAAGGAAAATGGCCAAAAGCCCACATCCTTAACTACACTGCAATGCCAGCAAAAGCCCTACAGTAGAGATGGCCCAGGTCAATACTGCATTGAGTCACATTCATTATGTTTTCTTCACATCCATAAAGAATGAATAAGCAACTTTAACAAAAAACAAAAAAACATGAAAGCTTAAATTCTTCAAAAACTAACGGGGTTACCATACTAATACTGGTATGGCAAATTACCAAGTACCAATGAACCTTGGCTATGTTTGGGAAGAGAGTTATAAGCTACATCCAGTGTAGAAAGTAGAGCAATGCCAACAGCCCCACACTACAGTAATTTTTCCATTGCTCTGGTTTAAGAAAAACTTCTGTTATAAGCATGAAATTTGGGAGGGGAGGAAGAAATAGGTTGTAACATGATCCCACCCAGATCTTGTAATAAAATTCATGATAGGAGGTTTACGTCACAGAAAGTCAGTTGAACAGAATTGAACAATATATATATTTGTTTTTGTAATAGAAATAGGTTGTAACATGATCCCACCCAGATCTTGTAATAAAATTCATGATAGGAGGTTTACGTCACAGAAAGTCAGTTGAACAGAATTGAACAATATAAATATTTGTTTTTTGTAACAGACAGCTGTCCTGCTGGTACCTTCCACCCAGAAACTTCATTCCTAAATTCTAGCACTACAGCAGCTTTGTCTAGAATAGGATAAGAGGTGTGTTAAAACATGTTTAACATGTTTGAAAGTCCACAGTAGATAAGGCTTTTAAGGGTCTGTCTTTTTGACAGCAAAACATTCTTTACTCAGGTTAGGTAACTCACATTAAAATAACAGTGAAGACATGGCAACTTTGCTTGTAACTTGGGTTAGCAGTCTGAGTTAAAGGCAAGAGGGGAGCCTGCTATTTTAACTCCAGTTAGCTAACCTGAGTTAACATTTTTTTTTGCTGCGTAGACCTACCCTAACACTAATACTAAACTGCTCAAGTTTTCAACCAGATTAGCATGGGTTAGAGGCAGTGTGACTTGTCCATACTAGACTTTAAAACACAGACCGCATGTGCTAACTTCACACCTTTAAATCCTACTGCAGACAAGGCCTCACTTGAGTAGTTTAGCAACATTTAAAGAGTACACCAATCTTGTATACACTAGATTTTTCGAACCTGTTTGTTGGAATGTTAAACTACACAGTATGTTTACCAGCTGTACACAAGATGTATTCTACTGGCCTCCGTTTAATTTGTGATTTTACTTTTGAAAATGTGTTATTGGAACTTGAGAAATTAATAATTCTTCTCCTACTACAATGGTGTTTATTTATGTTTGTATTTATAGAAACAAAGAAAGCCATCATAGGCATAAGTAACGATATAGGATCTCTGTTCCTACCTGGTACTTTTTCTCCCAAGATCGACTCATAAAGACCAACAAATACATTAGCACCACATTCTGTGAGCTTCGTCACATGCAGATTTATATGAGATTTCATAAGAAGATCATTGGCGACATCAACCCATTCTATTAAAAAAAATGTTAAAACATGTAAATGACTTAGCTAGAAAACATAAGTACAAAACCCTGTCTGTGTACATTATGATGAAGGGAGACTCCCAGCTAAAGGCTCATATAATAAGTTTTGCAAGTAGAAAGTGTCTTTATATGCCTATTAAACAATAAATAATTTATTATTTATGTACTGGTAGGAGCAAAAGACAGGAGTGAAAAACAGCCCTTAGTCCCCCAAATTGCTTTAACTGTGTATTCTTTGATATTTGGGCAGAACAATAAAGAAGGACAATTAAGTGTAATATGACTCTCGATCTGACAATTCAAAAAATTCTATCGTTACAGATTAACAAAACAATACTAGAATGTGTTACGTTCTATTAGAGATTTGAAGTTTATGGCAATGATCCTGCAAGCCATCCACATACAGAATTCCCATTAATTTTAAGGATAAAGCTGCAGAGGGAAGCTGTCCAGAGTGCTTATTGGATCAGGCCAATTTTTGGTATTATCCCTTCAGAAGCCATAGAGCAAAAGCTGCCAATAATGCTCATTTCCCCCAATCCCAACATAATCCATACATTGCAAATATCACATCAAAGAGTGCAGGACAATCTTCATATCTACTGGCCTAGTACATCAAGTAATTTTATGTAGATAATTTTTTTCATGTTGGGCCAACATATAAAAGGAATTATTGTTTATATAGATATTAAAATATATTTTTAGTATACGGGTGGAGATGGGATATTAGAACATGGATAGGACTTGGGCTGCAGCAGCTATTGTACGGTGAAAATTGGGTAGTTTGATTTCCATCCAAGTTTCAGGAAGGAGCAGACTAACAAGTCCCAACCAACAGACGTTGATGTGAAATGCAGTAAGTGTGCTGCCTTCCAGTCACACCAAGAAAGAAGAGAAAGGGAGAGTGGAGGCAAAGTGCACAAATGAGCAGGGAAGAAGCAAGGCTAGCTTTAACTTAAGGGCAGACATCTGGGACAGCAAGATGTTCAGCATGAGAAGAAGGGCAGAAGTTTGCTGGTATGCTTACCAGTGGTCCAGAGAGACAGGTTAACTCCCTCCCCCTGCCAGCAGTGCTAACACACAAAAGGTTTTCTGCATCACCTAATAGTTTTTTAACATCTTTAATTAAGAGGACAGAGTGGATGAAATAGAAAGTTCAGCAAATGGCATTAAGCAGAGCAAATTGTTGAAAGAGCCTGCTGGTGTCCTGAAGTGGTTTGGTTGTTTAATAGTCTTTAGACTATGGCCCAATAACTTGTTTCATTTTCAATATTAACATGTTAACTGAGGTCATCTGGGGATTGCTCACCAAAGAGAAAGCCTCAGTGGCTGTAATTAAGTCATAAGAAAAGAAAAGGAGTCACTTAGTTTCAGGATATAAGGCAAGTAAGATTGTAGGTACTGCCCTCACCAAACAGTGCTCTGACAGGAGAAAAGACACCCCCACCTAGCCCAGCATGGGGCCAGGACAAGAGGCAGGTGGTGGATATTTACTGATCTATTTAATTTTTTAAGTAAACATAACTTTGAAGACAAGTTGAGAGGCCTCCCTGTTACACAAGTCATTCCTTCTGCTCCCGTGCCCCACACAGATTTCCAGACTAAATGGTATCTACTCACCCCAGCTAGGGTGACCAGATGTCCCAATTTTATAGGGACAGTACTGATTTTGGGGTCTTTTTCTTATATAGGTTCCTATTACCCCCCACCCCCTGTCCTGATTTTTCACACTTGCTGTCTGGTCACCCTAAGTCCCCAGCTCTAAGACCTAGCACAGAAATGAGACAGTTGCTCCTACACACAACACCCACATATACAGACTAGGAAGAATGGGCAATAACATAGGGCCCTAGTCTGGGACTCCGGAATCTAAGGTTCAAGTCCCACCTCAGCCTCACTCTGTAACCCTGGGCAAGTCACTTAATCGTGCTGGAGACGGTATTCACAGGGCGGGAAAGCAACAGGGAGGAGCCCGTTACTATGGTGAAAAGGACCAGGTAAGTGGGGGGGGGCGCAGCCGGGGCAAATCCCTTCCCCCCTGTCACCCCACACACCATCTCCCCCAACAGCCCCCGCCCATGGGGCTCCCTTCTTCACCCCCCCACCTCTCTCCTCGGGGCTGCCCATGGTGTGGTGTTCACTGGGACGCGACGCCGAAACTCCCAACTGGCGAATACAGCTCCCCTCCCCCTTCCAGGATATTTAAATACAGAGACAGTGCTCCCTCCGCACCGATTGGCCGAGCCGGAGCCGGAAGGGGCGGGACTTCCTGCTGGGTTTTCCCAGTTTTTCATGTCTTTTTGCGTGGTTTTTTTTTTTCTTCTACTTTTCTATCCGGCCTCGATTATGTTTTCACCGGGTTTTTTTTTAAACATTGGCTACGTTTATAGTTATTTATATTTACCCGCCGCGTCAGCTCCGGTCGCTATAGAAACTGCGATAGGGGCGGATCCTACTGCCCGCTAAGTAACGCGCGCGATTAGCGCTTTATGTTGGGTCACGTGAAGCGGCCAACCTCCCCTCCCCCCCGGGGGACTGCAAATTGGGACTGTTAATTACATGATCGGACTCTACGCGAGGAAACCCGTAGAGCAAGGGAGCCCCACCCCACGAGAGTGATGGTGGGGGGAGTGTCTCACGGGGGACCCTTCTCCCTGGGGAGAGCTACAAGGGGACTCTGAGCACCTACAGGAGAGGAGAGGCCTGCAAAAGCCAGGCTGGGCACCATTCTCGCTCAGGCAATGTCATAACTATAGAATCTGCTCCCTCCCCCCACACACAGAGAGTGGAGAATAATAGGGGAAGTCCTGGCATGCACAAGCAAACCCAATGAGAAGAGCAATAATGGTGTCCCAGGGAACCTTTCTTCCTCCCTCCCTCCCCAGGAGAATGATGTGGGTGTCCCAGCACCCACAGGAAACCCCCCCCCCTCACTCCGACAGAGTAAAAGTGTCCTCGGCAAGGTTGCCATCTCTGAGATACAAAGAAATGGGACATCCAGGATGATCCTGAGCCCATAAAACTAGACAGCTTCCCAGAGAAAGTAACAGAGTCATATCAGAGAGATGGGCACCAACACCTCCCCCGAGAGACTGCGATGGGAGAACAATACAGGTGTTCCAGGACCTAAGGGGACACCCCCTAAAGAGAGACATGGGTCTCCTCCACCCCATGTGTGTGAGTGGAACTGTTAGTCCCATCCTCAGAAATTTTAACAAACAGGCGGAACAAAAATTCTTACTCCTTCCCATTGCTCTACTCCAAAAACAAACAAACAAAAAACCCTGTAATAAACATCACTGCTCCATCTCATTGTTTTTGTTCCTTCCTCTTTCCTATGTCCATTGTCTAGCTACACTCTAAACTCTTTGAAGCAGCAGCAGTTATGACTTATGTGTAAAGCACCAATCATAATTTTACAGGTCAATAATGCATAATGATAGTGTGATATGAAAAGTCCTATATGTTGACTCAGAATAACATAACAATAGAAAATCATAAGAAAAACAGTTCTACAGACTCTGCTAAAGACATACTACATCTAATCACTCTGAAGTAGAGTATTATGCAAGATTAATGGGTTCAGACTTTCAAGGCCAAATTCAGGTGTGGAGAAGGCTTGTCCTGGCAGGTATGAGGTATTGGGGAGGGAGGGGGGAAATGGGAGAGCACTGGTAATTGATTTAGTCAGGTTTGTCCTAGGGAATTCTGGGAGGAGTTTGCCAATAAAGGATTTAGTTTAAGAGGCTTTTCTTGAGTTGATCTTGGAAGGAAGACTTGTTTTAGAATGTAGGAATGCTGGGGACTCTTATCACTGCACGAAAAAGCTTGAGAGGTTTTATCCGCTGCCACTTACCTCTCTTGACTGCTGTCCCTGAGGTTTCCAGATTTGTCCATGCAGAGAGATCCAGTGGCCTAAACGCATTTGCTTATAAATTAAGCAGTGGCTAAGGGTTTTCAAAATCCCATATTGCATCAAACCATACCACACCAGAATTTGGAGTGCCCCATTCATTAAAATCCCAAGTACACATAATGTATGGTGCCCAAAACAGGCCAAAGACAAAGGCATTTGGGATCTTAATTACTGCTCTGAGAGCAACGAATGGCAGGGAGATGCAAACCAGAAAGGCAATTATATTGAAACTGGTACAAAATCTGGGTTCAATATAAGCAGGTAGGAGATTGAGAGACCTCCATAAAACCATGACTTAACTGGTAAATGAACACATCAGACCACTTAGCATAAAGCAGGAAGAAGCAAAGGAAAAATCAAATATCTTTGCTTATCCGAATATTGCATCTAATATGCTTCTTTGTAAACTCCTTGGCGAAGGAACCATCTTTTTGTTCTTTATACAGTGCCTAGCACAATGCGGTCCTGATTCATAGCTGGGGCTCCTAGATGCTATGGTAATCCAGACAAAAAAGCTAATATAAGGAACCATTAGGAAAGGGATAGATAATAAAACAGAAACTATAATGCCTCTGTATAAATCCAGGGTATGCCCACATCTTGAATATTGCATGCCAATCTGGTTGCCCCATCTCAAAAAAAGACACATTAGACTTGGGAAAGGACAGAGAAGGGCAACAAAAATTATTAGGGGTATGGAACAGCTTCCATTTGGGGAGAGATTAAAAAGACTGGGACTTTTCAGCTTGGAAAAGTGATGACTAAGAGGGGATATGATACCAGTCTATAAAATTTTGACTGGTGTGGAGAAAGTGAATAAGGAAATGTTATTTGCTCCTTCAAATAACGGAAGAACTGGGGGGTCACCCAATTAAATGAATGGAAACCAGATTTAAAACAAAAGGAAGTACTTCTTCACACAATGCACAGTCAACCTGTGGAACCCATTGCCAGGTATGTTGTGAAGGCCAAAACTATAACAAGGTTAAAAAACTACTAGTGAAGTCAGTGGAGGATAGGTCCATCAATGGCTATTAGCCAGGATGGTCAGGGGTTCAACACCATGCTCTATGTGTCCCTAGCTTCTTTTGACACAAGCTGGGAGTGGACAACAGGGAATGGATCTCTCAATGATTGCCTATTCTGTTCACTCCCTCTGAAGCACATGACATTGGCCACTGTTGGAAGACAGGATACTGGGCTAGATGGACCATTGGTCTGACCCAGTATGGTTGTTCTTATTTTCTTATTGTATAGTGCTGATCACGCTGTTGTCCTAGCAATGTCACATACATTAATTTATCCTTGAAACATGCCTAGGAAATAGGAAGGTATTATTAGCTACACTTTACAGATAAGGGAACTGAGGCACAGAAAGACTAAGAGATTAATGAAATATGGAAAAGGAAGTTTATCATAGAACCGGGCAGCAAACCCACATCTCATGTAGTCCGACCCAACACATTCATCATAAAACCATCCTTTTCCTAAGCCAGCTTTCCTCCATTTTAAAAGGTCCTTTTAAATTATATGATTGGAACATACAGTATATGTACATTGAACAAGTATATAGACTGGGTACCATGATCAGCAGTGAAATAATTAACAATATTATAATTTAAACTATATCATAACAGGCTTGAGTGTTAACACCCATTTGAAATGAAGGGCTTTTCAGATCAATGGAGCAATTCACACTTCTCAGCGTCATTGTTTAAATCAGTCTGCAAGTAGGGGTTACAGTCTCAAAGTTATCTTCACAAGCAAAGTTTAATTTGTTTTTAAATAGTAATAATGGTTGAAAATGTCTAGAGTGTACAGGACCTTAGAAAAGGTAGTGATATGATTAAAGGACTCCAGCAAACAAAAGACTGAAGAGGAATGTACAGTGTGCATTTTTTAAACCCATATGCACTTCTGTGCGCTAGTGTACTTTTTATGACCTTTGAACTGGTATACTGGTTCTGTTAGGGGAGTTGGAAGGATACAGCTCATAACCATTTACAATCACAGCTATCTGAATATTCGTAAATTCTGAAAATGCCTGAACACTGGACAACAATCTAAAATGTGTATTTATCCTCTGTATTTTTCTTGTAAGGAAAATTATTCCAGAAATTTCCAATTATTTGTGATCAGGCAATTAATTTCAATGGGATTTAGACACTTTGAAATCCCAGAGTACTTTTGGGGTGTATTTGATTCAAATCCCTTGGCCACTTGCTACTCTGTGTCTGTTTGGCATTTCCTATTTACAATGAGAAATCTCAGAAATTCTCTCATTAGTTTAGCATGGATGCTGCAGCTCCACCATTTCTTAGCAGCAATTGAAGATCTAGAGAAGACTGGGCATCAGCAGGTGCTAAAGCAATGACGGGAGAATTTCTGAAAATAGTGCAGATGCAATCTGTAGTGAAACATGAGGTAATTTAATGGTAAATAGTCTAGATTAAATTACTACATGGTGGGTGCACAACTGGTTGAAAGACGATACTCTGAGTAGTTTCTGTCAAACTGGGTGGGCATATCTAGTGGAGTCCCGCAGGGGTCAATTCTGGGTCCAATGCTATTAATTATTTGAATTAATGACTTGGATAATAGAGTAGAGAGTATGCTTATAAAATCTGCAGATGACACTAAGATGGGAGAAGTTGCAAGCAGTTTGGAGAACAGGATTAGAATTCAAAACTTCTTTGACAAATTGGATAATTGGTCTGAAATCAACAAGATGAAATTCAATAAAGACAAGTGCAAGTATTTCACTTAGTAAGGAAAAATTAAATGTACAACTACAAAATAGGAAATAACTGTCTAGATAGTTGTACTGCTGAAAAGGATCTGGGGTTATAAGGGATCACAAATTGAACATTTCAACAATGTAATGCAGTTAGAAAAAAGGCTAATATAATTCTGTGGCATATTAAAAAGAGTGTTGTAGGTAAGACACAGGAGATAAAATTGTCCTGCTCTACTTGGCAATCACGGCTTCAGCTGGAGTAGTGTGCCTAATTCTGGGTACCAAACTTTAGGAAAGATGTGGATAAATTGGAGAAAGTCTAGAGGAGAGCAATAAAAATGATAAAAAGGTTTAAAAATCCTGACCTGTGAGGAAAAGTTAAAAATAACTGGGCATATTTATCCTTGAGAAAAGAAGACTGACAGGAACCTGATAACCATCTTGAAATATGCTAAAGGTCTATTATAAAGAGGACCATGAACAATTGTTCTCCATGGACACTGAAGGTAGGACAAGAAGTAATGGTCTTACTCTGCAGCAAGAGAGATTTCGGTTAGATCAGTTTCTCAAA